TCCAGGGGCGTCACCTGCTCCTCCATGGGTGTCACCTGCTCCTTCAGTGGTGTCACCTGCTCCTCCAGGGGTGTCACCTGGTCTTTCAGGGGGGTGTCACCTGCTCCTTCAGGGGGTGTCACCTGCTCCTCCAGGGGTGTCACCTGCTCCTCCAGGGGTGTCACCTGGTCCTCCAGGGGTAAAAACACTGTCAATCCTCCCCTGGGTGTGACGGGGAGAGGACAGCCACACTGACGGGATGGTTCAGTGTGGGACAGAGAGTGAATGTAAGACTCAAAATAGCGACTTTAACTTCAATAGACGATGATAGCATTTACCTTATTTCCAGTCTTGTCCCAATTGCATATGGATAGCAGCCTACGATATCCCAATTGCAACTTACGATATCCCAATTGCAACCTACGATATCCCAATTGCAACCCACGATATCCCAATTGCAACCTACAAAATCCCAATTGCAACCAACGATATCCCAATTGCAACCTACGAAATCCCAATTGCAACCAACGATATCCCAATTGAAACCCACGATATCCCAATTGCAACCTACGATATCCCAATTGCAACCTACGATAGCCCAATTGCAACCCACAATATCCCAATTGCAACCTACGATATCCCAATTGCAACCCACGATATCCCAATTGCAACCTATGATATCTGGAAGATCCTCCAACCCCCCCCACCACCACCACGTAACACCCACCCCCCCTTTCCCCCGCCTACACCCCCACACCATCCCTCCAGATCTCTTCCGCTTAATCCACTTTAGAAAGAGCATGGACTAAAATTAAGCTTCTCTGTTGCAAATGCAACTCGAGTCCTCAATCTTGCAACGGGAGAAGCAGACAGGAAAAAGTGTATATGGCGTTGAGAGGGGCAGAGTGGGGGAGGAGTGGGATGTAGTGGGGGAGGGTTATATCAGGCATTTCCCCCCCTCCTAACCCCTCTCTCTCTCTCTCTCTCTCTCTCTCTCTCTCTCTCTCTCTCTCTCTCTCTCTCTCTCTCTCTCTCTCTCTCTCTCTCTCTCTCTCTCTCTCTCTCTCTCTCTCTCTCTCTCTCTCTCTCTCTCTCCTTTCCCCCTCTAATTAGGAGAGGCATCGAGATATAGATGCGTAGGGGGAAGGGAAAGGGGGGAGGGGGTTAAGGGGAGTGTGGGGTGGGGGTTTAAGGGGAGAGTGTGGGGGGTGGTGGTTATGGGGGAGTGTGAGGGAGGGGGGGGGGTGTACGCGAGCTGCAACAGCTCGTGGAGTGGGGCTGCAATCACTTGATTTGAGGACTCTTGCTTCACGGTATGACTTGGCTAGTGCGGCAGTAGGCCAGAGTGAGAGGCCTCTGATCTGGGGGCTACGAGGCGGCGGGGCGAGTGCCTGGATAGGTGGATGGGTGGATGGGGCAGGCGAGGATAGGTGGGGTGGGAGTGCAACCCGTTCTCACACTTTCGTATAGTCAATATTGACTTATTAACTACGTGCATAGGTGATATACTAAACATAATAGATACCCTTAAAAAGATTCATAGAAAACACTGACCTTACCTAACCTTGTTAGTATCTTAAGATAAGCATCTTATTGCTTCGTAATTACAATTATTACTTAACCTATACCTATTATAGGTTAGGTAATAATTGTAATTACGAAGCAATAAGATGCTTATCTTAACATAGTAAGTAGGTTAGGTAAGGTCGGTGTTTTCTATGAATCTTTTTAAGGGTATCTATTATGTTAAGTATGTCACCTATGCACATATTTAATAAGTCAATATTGACTTATTAAATTTGCGAGAACGGGTTGGGGAGTGAATGGTTATTGGATCGATAAAAAATGGAAAAGGTGTTTTAGTACTTGAATAGAAAACGGAAGGGGTAACTGAGATAGAGATGGATGAGCTAAATTATGGGAGGGAAGGAAAGGCGGGGGTAGTGGGAACTAGCTAGGAGGTGGGGTGGAAGGGGAGGGTGGGGGAGGGGATAGGGAGATGTAGTGGATGAAATGCAGAATAGAAGGAGGGGGAGGGGGGAAGTGTCTATGAATAGGCTACAAAAGGGTAAAAGGCTGAGACAGTATTCTGTACGACTTATCAAACTGTTTCTCCACACACAAACCCCTCTCAAATCCCCCCCCCCCTCTTCCGGGATGCATCCGGCCCTCTGACGGCCAGGTCAAGCCAGGTCAAGCCAGGTCAGGTCGAGTCAGGCTTGCAACACTAAGCAGCCATCCCTCTCAGATCCACTAATGAAAAGATCGAGTTACCGCCAAAACCTAATTTGGAGGGTAAAGTTAGCGGGACTATGAACACATTAGTCTCCCCTTACATGGTTATCAGGCCCGTCCTCCCTCTCACCCTCCACGCCGTCCTCGCACAACCGGCCACTAACTGGCGCCAATTTTGGTCGTGAGGACCGCCGGAAGAAGCCCGTGATGGAGTCGCTCGGAACCGGCCGTCTTGATTTTCCGATGGTCATTTAGGAGAAGATGGCTGGCAAGGATGGAGGTGGATGGGAGTGGCAGGGAGGGAAGGATAGGTAGGATGGTGGGACGGAGAGGGAGTTAATTGTGAGGTAGTCGAGCCACGATGGATAAGGATCAAGAGGGCCAGATATATGAGAGGCAAAATTCAGTGAGGGTAGGCCTGCCTTGACCCATATACTGGTACGCCATATATGCGGGATTCGAACCGGGGTCTCGATACACTCTGCACCCGCGCTGCTTCCACTGCAATATTGTAAACTTAGGTTTAACTAACCAGTGTCAATATCAAGTCGTGGTTGTGGCGTACGAACCGAGAGAGTCTATATCTTGGACCTCAGTTCGAATCCCATAGCACATAAATTTGGAAATTGCATTTATATAGGCGTCAAGCCTGAATATTCCCCAAGCTAACATGCATCAGAAAACTCTTGACCCCTGAGAGATTCGAACCCGGTCAGCCAGGGGGGCCTTCATATGCCCCTTGGCGTGACCAGTACTATAACCACTCGGCCACACTGACTGTACAAATGTAATGGAAAGTCGTCTGACCCTTAACCCAATACCCGACAGCACTCGTTTGCCATTTTGGGCACAAATATTTCATTAAATCACTTCATCGTCCTGGGTCCGCGTGAGTATCATTTGTAATACACATTTGTCAAACAAAATCAACTTTTAAAATGTCTGCTTCTCGAAAATGATAACATGTATTAAATTTAATATAGTAAACAAACTTTGGAACTTGAACCAAAGCTAACTTATATGAACTTAAACAAAATTACGAAACTTGGAACAAGTAATGACGACACGGAGCGTGTGGGAATTCAACACCTATCACAGAGCCGCTCTTCATATTCTCTATATATGGGCGCTCTGTGGCACCACTTCCGTTGTTGGACTCGGCCGTTGTTTGACACTCTTCTGACGCTGCCTCCGTTGTTTGACACCGTCCTGATGCTGCCGCCGTTGTTTGACACTCTCCTGACGCTGCCTCCGTTGTTTGACACTCTTCTGACGCTGCCGCCGTTGTTTGACACTCTTCTGACGCTGCCTCCGTTGTTTGACACCGTCCTGACGCTGCCTCCGTTGTTTGACACTCTTCTGACGCTGCCTCCGTTGTTTGACACTCTTCTGACGCTGCCGCCGTTGTTTGACACTCTTCTGACGCTGCCTCCGTTGTTTGACACCGTCCTGACGCTGCCTCCGTTGTTTGACACTCTTCTGACGCTGCCTCCGTTGTTTGACACTCTTCTGACGCTGCCTCCGTTGTTTGACACTCTCCTGACGCTGCCTCCGTTGTTTGACACTCTCCTGACGCTGCCTCCGTTGTTTGACACTCTCCTGACGCTGCCTCCGTTGTTTGACACTCTCCTGACGCTGCCTCCGTTGTTTGACACTCTTTCTGACGCTGCCGCCGTTGTTTGACACCCTCCTGACGCTGCCTCCGTTGTTTGACACTCTCCTGACGCTGCCGCCGTTGTTTGACACTCTTCTGACGCTGCCCCTGTTGTTTGACACTCTCCTGATGCTGCCGCCGTTGTTTGATACTCTTCTGACGCTGCCTCCGTTGTTTTACATGCCCGTTCCCGTCACCTCCGTTGTCCGACACGCCCGTCCCGCCACCTCCGTTGTTTGACACGCCCGTTGCTGGTGGCTGGCTGGTCAATCATTGGAAACACTCAATAAAGCGAGGTATTCGCTGGTGTTTGACAAAGAGTCGTAACCTGACATTATTTTTTCACACTAGTTAAATAATCACATTCCGCGCTGGCCGCTGCCTTTGTGTTAATAGCGATATGGTATATTACGTTGGAATAACATTGTTTACCAATTGGGGATCAAATTACCTTCTCGTGTTTCGTGTCGTTTGGACATTTAATGGTGGTTGAGAGTTGGAAACTTTTTTGTTTTTTGTGTTTTTTTATGTTTGCAAATGCGAAGAAAATGTGGTAAACACAATTCTGCTGGTTTAGGTCGAATGGTCAGTAGGCCTATAGGATGGTGTAGGCCGGAGAGGTCGAGGTTTGAGTGCTATAATTTGGTTAATGTGATACAGGTAGGCACAGGTACAGGGATAGCAACAACCTGGTTGTACACATTTTTGGTACTCTTTCAGTAGTTTATAAGTACTCGCATTATCCATTTTTTTCGATTGGCACTATTTTTAGTCGTCTGTCTTTGTCTGTCTGTCTGTCTGTCTGTCTGTCTGTCTGTCTGTCTGTCTGTCTGTCTGTCTGTCTGTCTGTCTGTCTGTCTGCCTGTCTGTCTGTCTGTCAGTCTCTCTCATCTCTATCTCTGTCATCCCACTCCCATTACCCCCCATCTTTCTTCCATCGCCCCCTATCCCCCACTTTATCTCTCATCAATTCCCCACATCCCACTCTCATTCCCTCGCCTCCTTACTCTCAAATCCATTTATTCACTCACCCCATCCCCCTACCCATCCCCCTACCCATCCCCCTACCCATCCACCTACCCATCCACTCTCATCCCCCATCCACCTACTGACCTGCTCCTATCCTCCCCAGGGACGAGGACGGAGGCGAACAGGAGAAAGACAGGGGAGCCGCGAAAGAAGCAGGAGAACTGTGAGCCCAGCTTCCTACAACAGTGTATGGACCAGCTGCAGGCTATCAACAAGGACCACAACCTGGCCTTCGCCTCCACCGAGGGAGAGCTCAACAAGATGTGCAGGTGAGAGGGGAAGGAGATAGTGAAGGAGGGGAAGGGAGGAGGGGAAGGGAGAGAAGAGAAGGGAAGAAAGAGGACAGGAGCTAAGGGAGGGGGGGGAGAAAGATTAAATAGTGGCGGACGTTGGTGTCCCACATTGATGATATACGTTAATAGGGCAAACACAATGAACCGAGCCGCACAGGTTCACTCCCACGGTGTGTGGGAGGGGGGGGCGAGGCCTCCCACGGTGTGTGGGAGGGGGGGCCAGGCCTCCCACGGTGTGTGGGAGGGGGACCAGGCCCCCTACGGTGTGTGGGAGGGGGGGCCAGTCCATCCACAGTGTGTGGGAGGGGGGCGAGGCCTCCCACGGTGTGTGGGAGGGGGGGCCAGACCCCCCACGGTGTGTGTTGGAGGGGGGGGCCAGGCCCCCCACGGTGTGTAGGAGGGGGGGCCAAGCCTCCCACGGTGTGTGGGAGGTGGGCCAGGCCCCCCACGGTGTGTGGGAGGTGGGCCAGGCCCCCCACGGTGTGTGGGAGGTGGGCCAGGCCCCCCACGGTGTGTAGGAGGAGTGGGAAGCATACATATTAAATTAAATTCACATTCCTACGAGAAAAACAGAGAACATTAACAGATACCCATGAATTTACAGACAGACAAACAGGCCCGAACATACAGACATACAGACAGACACGAATTTGCAGAAACAGACAGACAGACAGACAGACAGACAGACAGACAGACAGACAGACAGACAGACAGACAGACAGACAGACAGACAGACAGACAGACAGACAGACAGACACAGACATGCAGAGACAAATAGGCCAACCAATTGAGAGAAGGATCGCTGGGAGCAGTTCCAGCCGTTTACCTCCTGACCTTCATGACACCTGCTGGAAAAGAATCAGAATGGCCTCATCTACACTTTTGTGAGCGAGATGGCCATCAGATTACTCGACGGGGCGCATGTACGGGCGCGCGCACGCACACACAGGTTGTGTGGAAAAGGTTCAAAGGTTTGTCACCAGACTAGTACCCGAACTGAGGGCTATGAGCTACGAGGAGAGACTACGGGAATTAAACCTCACGTCACTGGGAGACAGAAGAGTTAGAGGGGACATGATCACCACATAAAAGATTCTCAGAGGAATTGATAAGGTGGATAAAGACAGGCTATTTAACACCAGGGTCACACGCACTAAGAGACACAGGTGGAAATTGAGTGCCCAAATGAGCCATAGAGATATTAGAAAGAATTTTGTCAGAGTCAGAGTAGTAGACAAATGGAATGCATTAGGAAATAATATGGTGGAGGCTGACTCCATACACAGTTTCAAGTGTAGATATAATAGAGCCCAATAGGCTCAGGAACCCGTACACCAGTTGATTGACGGTTGTAAGACGGGACCAAAGAGCCAGAGCTCAACCTCCGCAAGCACAACTAGGTGAATACAGTGGCCTCGCGGCTGAGTGGACATCACATGGGAGTCGTAGTTCTAAGGGTCCGGATTCGATTCCCGGCCGAGGCAGAAAAAATGGGCAGAGTTGGTTTCACCTGATTCACATGTTCACCTAGCAGTAAATAGGTGCCTGGGAGTTAGACAGCTGTTACAGGCTGCTTCCTGGGGATGTGTTTATGTGTGTGTGTGTCTGAGAGAAAATATATGTAGTAGTCATAATAAAGGAAAAACAGATTGGTTAAAAAGGCGGGGTCCAAGATTCTGCAGACACAAATAGTAAATAAAAATAGTAAATACACTCACACTCAATAATAAGGATAGAATAAGGAAACTGAATCTAACAATTCATCAAAAAATGAGAGAAGAAAATGGGTTATCTTGAGATGATTTTGGGGCTTAGCGTCCTCGCGGCCCGGTCCTCGACCAGGCCTCCTTTTTGTTACACCCCCCCCCACCCCCCCAGGAAGCAGCCTGTAGCAGCTGTCTAACTCCCAGGTACCTATTTACTGCTAGGTGAACAGGGGCCATCAAGGTGAAAGAAACTCTGCCCATTTGTTTCCGCCTCCACCGGGACCTCAGAACTACGAATCCGAAGCGCTGTCCACTCAGCTGTCAGGCGGGGCATGGCTAGAGACACATGAGAGACATGGGGGATATGATCACAACATACAAGATACTGATGAGAATAGACAAGTTAGGCATCATCACCGTAACCACGACAGGGCACGAGTCTCTTGAACGACCCAACTTCGAGTAAGCTTAACCATCTTATCTTCACCCTACAACAGGAAACAGTAAGATCAAGTGCTCCGTGGCTAAACAGGACCACAGGACTGTTTCCTAATGGAGGGAAGAATCTTAGTCTGTCTCATATCCCTTTTTCCCCCAGAAGGAGAATCTCATAAACCATATTAATAAACTGTTGTTTGCACGGTTAGAGACTTAAATTCCTCTCCCACGCGGGAATTTGGTACATAAAGAGAGAGCGGACGGAAGTGAAGAGAGCGTGGGGGGGAGGGGGAGAGGTGGAGGAGGGAGAGAGAACGCAGGGGAGGGGGAGGAAGCGTGGGGGAGAGGGGGACATACGGGAGGGGGGGAAAAAAGGGTAAAAGAGCGAGGTTGTAGGGAGGAAGAGGGGAGGGGTGGGGAGAGAGAGAGTGGTGAGGTGTGGGGGCGACAGAGGGTAGGGGGGTGAAGGAGTGGGGAGAGAGGGGAAGCATATGTAGGGGAGAAAGGGTTGGGGAGGGGGGGGGCATCAGGCTTGTGACTTGCTTATTGGTTCATGCTTATTGTAACTCATCATATCATCTCTTGTACCACCAGCAACTTCATCATCTCCACTCCAGCATATAGCATCACCATCCTTATCATCCCGCATCACAGCACACCATCATCTCCCACCTGCATCACCACTAACACCACCACTACCACCACCCGCAGCACCATGGAGTCGGGGTTGGACTGCGTTCACAGCCACGTAACAAGGTGCTTCGACGAGTCGCGTCAGCGCGTCATCTACCAGCTCCTGACGGGTACTGAGGACGTCATCAAGAGCCTCTGTATGGCCGGGAGCTTCAGGGACCGTGAGTATAAATGTTTATGTAAATCTCTAGACTGCCGAACTTTGATCTGGTGTATAACCTCACGCTTTAACATGGTTGGTTATCAATCTTTTTGGGTAAAACTTCACGTTTTAACATGGTTGGTTATCAATCTTTTGGGTAAAACTTCACGCTTTAACATGGTTGGTTATCAATCTTTTTGGGTAAAACTTCACGCTTTAACATGGTTGGTTATCAATCTTTTTGGGTAAAACTTCACGTTTTAACATGGTTGGTTATCAATCTTTTGGGTAAAACTTCACGCTTTAACATGGTTGGTTATCAATCTTTTTGGGTAAAACTTCACGCTTTAACATGGTTGGTTATCAATCTTTTTGGGTAAAACTTCACGTTTTAACATGGATGGTTATCATTCTTTTGGGTAAAGTTTCGTAAAATAGTTTAAAATCTCTTACTTGAAAATAAGTGACATTTGTTCGATAAAAAATTTATTTATGGAGGGAAGTAATTCTCTAAATTGTTGCCAAATGTCATTTGAAATGGTCCCATTGTAAATTATTTCCCATCAGAACCTGGCTCAAGATTCATCAAGTTCTTAGGTCTCCACGTACGAAACCCCTGCATCTTTCCTCAATTATAGCAACTTAGTTGTAAATAGTTTATGAGATCTGAAGCTCTACTGAGGTTGTCTATAATAATTACCTTGGGTCGAAAACTATCTCGCAGCATTTTCAAGGTTACAAACTGATTAATAAATACAAACCAAGCTGCCAAGTTCGAATAAAAATGTATAATTTTCATAAGAGGAGACTTAAGATTGGTAGAAGATGAGGGGCTGATAGTGGGAGGGAGGAGGGAATTATCAGGGGGGAAAGCGCCAAGCCATTACGACTATATAGCACTTGCAGGCGATGAGTCACAATAACGTGGCTGCAGTATGATGACCAGACCACACACTAGAAACTGAAGGGACGACGACGTTTCGGTCCGTCCTGGACCATTCTCAAGTCGATTGAACCATTCTCAATCGACTTGAGAATGGTCCAGGACGGACCGAAACGTCGTCGTCCCTTCACCTTCTACTGTGTGGTCTGGTCATCATATAGCACTTGGAAGGGATGAGGATAAGGATTTGGGATGGGACGTAGGGAAGAAATGGTGCCCAACCACTTGGACGGTCGGGGATTGAACGCAGACCTGCATGAAGCGATAGGCAACCAGCGAACCATTTGTGTTTGATATCTAACCCATTATAAACAGAAAGTGTCACGTTGCAATTTCACACCAATGTTTTCATTGCATTTACAGCACGTGGGGTCAGGACTGCGCGCTCTTGGCAGACATTTGAGCATTTGTTTACGTGGCTGGACAGATATATACACGACCTGTCCTCTTAAAAAGAACGTCGCTTTTGGCCGTTTGCCCGTATGGCGAATGTGGACGTAATTTGAAAATTAAAAAAATGAATATATATATATGGGATTTTTTTTTCAAGAACAGTAAGTTAAGGGTCCTCTGATAGGTTAGGTGGGCAGGTAATTCTCATAAAGTTTCAAAACGTTAATGGAAAGAATCCTCTTCTAAGCTTGCCGAGTAAGCCGGACGACTCAAACAGAAAACGGAACAGTACGTCACTTTTGTGAGTCGATTTCATTTCAAATTACGTCCAAATTTGGCCATAGCGCGCATACCAGCGAAAAGTGACGTTATTTTTAAGAAGACGGGTTGTTATACATCCGGCCCACACGCTATGCTCGTCCAAGCGCCCGCCGACCCCCTAAGATATCATCACCAATGTGTCTTTCTGTGTATTAAAAATCCGATTTTTTTGGCATATAAATTAATGTTAATATATATATTAGAATTGCGTATATGGGTCGGTCTCAATTAGGTTAGGGGTGTTTAGGTTCCGTTGGGAATTATTTGTATTTGCAGTACGAACGGGAGGCATTCATGGCAACCCGTCCTCAGACCAATTCCATTCCATCCAGCGGTCGGCCCCAAAGACGCATTCATAACTTTTAACTTTTGTTCATTCAAAACAGGAATTATCTCAAATATAAATTAATATTATTTTATATTAACATACTGTACATATTTAGGCACTGGTTAGGTTAGTGGGTTTAGGTTCTGTTGGCGATTATTTGTATTTGTAGTACGTGGGTGAAGCATTTACGACGTTGTGATTCGAACTAAATTCGTCAGTGAATCACTTGTTCCGGAAGTGTTCGAACGTCATCAGTTGAGAGTCGTATGTAAACCGCTTTTCACTCATAAACAGCTGGGGTTTGGCGGGTGCATGGAATAGACTTTGGGGTCTTTGTTTAGAGGACGGGCTGATTCACGGAGGTGCAATTCGAACAGATTCGACTTGAGACAGCCGCTCCTCCAGACAAAGACCCAAAAGTGAATCCATGCACCCGCCAAACCCCCTGTTTATGCAACCCATCCTCGACTCAAGTCCATTACATCCTGCGGTCGACCCCACAGACGCATTCATAAATTTTAATATGCTGTTCATTCAAAACGGGAATTTTCTCAAGTATAAATTAATATTATAATATATTAGCATATTGTGCATATATAGGCATAGGTTAGGTTAGGTTAGGTGTTTAGGTTCTGTTGGCGATTATTTGTATTTGTAGTACGTGGGTGAAGCATTTATAGCGTTGTGATTCGAACAAAATTCGTCAGTGAAACACTTGTTCCGGATATGTTCGAACGTCAGCAGTTGTGAGTCGTGTGTAAACCGCTTTTCACTCATAAACAGCTGGGGTTTGGCGGGTGCATGGAATCACTTTTGGATCTTTGTTTGGAGGACGGGCTGGTTTATGAATGAAAAACGGTTTACACACGACTCACAACTGAATTCGTTCGAACAGTTCCGGAACAAGTGCTTCACTGACGAATTTTGTTCGAACCACAACGCTGTAAATGCTTCACCCTCGTACTACAAATACAAATAATCGCCAATAGAACCTAAACACCTAACCTAACCTACCTTATGCTTATATATGCACACTATACCAATATATATTATAATATTAATTTATATTGGAGAAAATTCCCGTTTTGAATGAACAGCATGTACAAATTTATGAATGCGTCTGTGGGGTCGACCGTTGGATGGAATGGACTTGAGTCGAGGACGGGTTGAAGGATAGATTGAGCAACACAACAAAAGTTCAACAACTGTCAACTACGGGCTATACTCATGCCCGTGTCACCTCTTGTGGTGGCTTAATCTTCATCAATCAATCAATTATTTTTTTATTAATACATGAGGTACATCTGCATTAGTGCAGCTGCCCTAGACTATATGAAGTGGAGTACAGTGTATCAAAAAAGCTAACTAGGTGATGCTAAAAAAAATCCCCATCACACAGGATGGTTAGTCATACAGAGGCATGTAATAGGCAGTCTGCACTCAATCAAGAGATCCACAAGTTAAGTCAGATGGTCTTGCCGATCATCCATCTCCTGAAATGCTCTATAGAGAGTTTCTAGACAACATGTTAGATCGGATCCCACGTTGTCCGCACCAAGATCTACCCCGACGAGGGTTACAAATATACCACTATACCAGTATAAATATACCAGGAGACACTGAAAACCCCTAATAAAAGGTGGGTCGAGACGGCATCATGATCCCAAAGCCAATCCCCTCGGGATCTGGTGGGATAAAATACTGAATCGTTAACTTCCCTGATGTGTCCGGCCCCCATTCCTTCCACTGCCGTCCCACTAGACTCTCACCCATCCCACGGGACACCAGTTGTCTTAAAGACCGTAATAAAGTATCATTGGTATCCTTCCTCTTCCACAGGTATTCTGCTTTCTGTCTCACTGGTATCCCCCTACCTATCCCACACAGGAATGGTATATAGTGCCGTTAGTGATGCTAGAGCTACTAGAGTACCTCAAGCCTCTAGAGTACCTGGTCAACATTAACCCCGTGCCCTGTGCCTTCCAGAGTACCTAGTCAGTATTAACCCCGTGCCCTGTGCCTTCCAGAGTACCTAGTCAGTATTAACCCCGTGCCCTGTGCCTTCCAGAGTACCTAGTCAGTATTAACCCCGTGCCCTGTGCCTTCCAGAGTACCTAGTCAGTATTAACCCCGTGCCCTGTGCCTTCCAGAGTACCTAGTCAGTATTAACCCCGTGCCCTGTGCCTTCCAGAGTACCTAGTCAGTATTAACCCCGTGCCCTGTGCCTTCCAGAGTACCTAGTCAGTATTAACCCCGTGCCCTGTGCCTTCCAGAGTACCTAGTCAGTATTAACCCCGTGCCCTGTGCCTTCCAGAGTACCTAGTCAGTATTAACCCCGTGCCATGTGCCTTCCAGAGTACCTAGTCAGTATTAACCCCGTGCCATGTGCCTTTCAGAGTACCTGGTGCACGCGGCCTGCATGAGGAACCTGAGTACAGACAACCTGGTGTGTGGACTCCAGTACAAGCGACTCATCAGTTCGGTGAACCCGCCTGAGAAGATCAACTTTGAAGACTCCATACGACAGCAGTGTTGGTGAGGTGTAGTTGTGTGTTGGTGAGGTGTAGTTGTGTGTTGGTGAGGTGTAGTTGTGTGTGTGTGTGTGTGTGTGTGTGTGTGTGTGTGTGTGTGTGTGTGTGTGTGTGTGTGTGTGTGTGTGTGTGTGTGTGTGTGTGTGTGTGTGTTGGTGAGGTGTAGTTGTGTGTTGGTGAAGCGTTGCTGTGTGTTGGCGAGGCGTAGTTGTGTGTTGGTGAGGCGTAGTTGTGTGTGTTGGTGAGGCGTAGTTGTGTGTGTTGGTGAGGTGTAGTTGTGTGTTGGTGAGGCGTAGTTGTGTGTTGGTGAGAGGGGGGCACCTGTGTGTTCGTAAACACACACACACACACACACACACACACACACACACACACACACACACACACACACACACACACACACACACACACACACACGTCGACAACAGAAATATCCGTGTTTTGGAGGCGAGCTTGGCGCCTATTTTCTCATCGTGGCCGATAAAATTTACCATAAATTCCTGCGTTAATTAATCTAGACGTGCAATTTGTCGACCACCGCAGACAAGTCATCAATTAATCACCTTCGATCAAGTGCCATCAAGAGGCATCAAATAACGGCATTAACTTATAAACATGTTATGGTTCTGGCATAGTTCTGGGAGGCAGGGAAGATTTGCTGCCAAGCATGAGGACACGGTAATGTTTTAGGGAATATTTCTCCATCAACTGTTTGAAGGGAGAGGGGAAAAAATCCCAGTTTTGGGGTTATTAAATCAGCAATAGACTGTGTTGTTCTGTTGTGTGTGTGTGTGTGTGTGTGTGTGTGTGTGTGTGTGTGTGTGTGTGTGTGTGTGTGTGTGTGTGTGTGTGTGTGTGTGTGTGTGTGTGTGTGTGTGTGTGTGTGTGTGTGTGTGTGTGTGTGTGTGTGTGTGTGTGTGTGTGTGTGTGTGTGTGTGTGTGTGTGTGTGTGTGTGTGTGTGTGTGTGTGTGTGTGTGTGTGTGTGTGTGTGTGTGTGTGTGTGTGTGTGTGTGTGTGTGTACTATATACATTTACTATTTGTATTTAATATATACATTTACTATTCGTGCCTGCAGAATCTAGCTATTAGCTCTTGAACCCCGCCTTACTAACCAAGATATTTTTCCTGTATTATGGCTACTACATATATTACTCTCTAACACACGCACACACACACACAGGAAGCAGCCCGTAGCAGCTGGCTAACTCCCAGGTACCTATTTAATGCTAGATGAACAGAGACATCAGGGTGAAAGAAACTCTGCCCATTTGGTTTCTCGCCGGGAATCGAACCCCCGGTCCACAGGATTACGTGTCTAGCGTGCTGTCCATTTAGCCTCCAGCGCCCTATGTGTGTGTGTGTGTGTGTGTGTGTGTGAGTTGTACGTAATATTGTCCACCTATCTATCTCTTGTCTTCTATTTCATTTCCTGTCTCCTATTCCTCCTTCTTCTCCCCTTCCTTCTCTTTTTCTTCCTTCCTATCTTCCTTTCTGCCTACTTTCGTCTTTTCCTTCTCCTGAACATCCAGCACCACCTTCCCTTTGTTTTCAGTCTTCCTCCCCCCCCCTTTTCCCCTCCCACAGCCCCCCCTTCCCAACAATCACTTTCTCCCCCTCCCTCCCCCTTAGTTCCTCCCCTAAACCATCCCTCCCCCCTCCCCTTCCACACCCCGCGGCGCCCCTTCCCTAATCACATTGGCTTCTTCAATACACTTCAATATTCTCGTTGACCTGAGGCTAAACACCTTGCTACGTCTTTTATACCAAGTTTAAACCCTGGGCATGAGGACACTGGATGGTGGTGATGGTGATGGGTTATGGTGATGGTGGTGGTGAGGGTTTATGGTGGTAGTGGTGAGTAGGTATGGTGGTGATGGTGGTGAGTGGTTATGGCGGGAGTGATTGTGGTGGTGGTGTTGAGAAATGATGAGGGGGCAGATGGTGGTGATGGTGTTGGTAGTGAGAACGATAGTCGTGGTGTTGGTGATGGTGATGTGGGTGGTGAGAAGTGATGGCGGTATTGATAGTGGTGGTGTTTGTAATGGTGTAGATGATGGTCTTGTGGTGATGGGGCGTGGTGATGATGGGGCGTGGTGATGGGGCGTGGTGATGCTGCTAGTGATAACATATTTTAATGACGTCAAAAGTTACGGAGAATTTGGACAGTTTTCCCTACACAGGCGAGAGCAGGAACTGACGACAGGTGACTTCTGTCACCTGTCTGAGAGCTTTCCCTTCCCATAGCTCCTGTTACAGCCCGTCCTCTTAAATCCCCTTAAATCTTCCCAACGTCAAGAAACTCTCGTACTAAAATACCCTTATCCTAACCTACCAGAGAACCCAAAACAGAAAACGGGACAGAATGTCAATTTCGACATCCGCTACAATTTTTCTAGTAAGACAATTTTTGGCCTTAGGTAGAATATACGTCAAAATGCGACGTTCTATTAGGAGGACGGGCTGCTCTCGTACGCCTTACACACTATAGAAATACGATCCATCAATCGTTTAACAACCAGGTACTTTTCTAATTTTGTAATGTGTGATTTTTAAAGATGGTAGGCTTCACTATGGAGCTGCATACTCTAATACTGGTCTCTCGTACGTGATTTGCGTGGGAGGGGGAGGAGAAGGTGGGGTTCACCACCTCACTCACTGCTGTACAGTTCACACAAATACAATTTCAGTGGAGGTTTATAGTAATAGAAAGCTTCACCAACTTGTTAACTCTCGGTGAATACGGCTTGACGAGGCCCAGGGGGCCCCCGACCCTCTGTTGTGGTGGACCATGCGGGCCACTGGTGGACCATGCGGGCCATTGGTGGTCCACACGGGCCACTGGTGGTCCACACGGGCCACTGGTGGTCCACACGGGCCACTGGTGGTCCACACGGGCCATTGGTGGTCCACACGGCCACTGGTGGTCCATAGGGGCCACTGGTGGTCCACACGGGCCACTGGTGGTCCACACGGGCCACTGGTGGTCCACAAGGGCCACTGGTGGTCCACACGGGTCACTGGTGGTCCACGCGGGCCACTGGTGGTCCACACGGGCCACTGGTGGACCATGCGGGCCACTGGTGGTCCACACGGGTCATTGGTGGTCCACACGGGCCACTGGTGGTCCACACGGGCCATTGGTGGTCCACACGGGCCACTGGTGGTCCATAGGGGCCACTGGTGGTCCACACGGGCCACTGGTGGTCCACACGGGCCACTGGTGGTCCACACGGGTCACTGGTGGTCCACGCGGGCCACTGGTGGTCCACACAGGCCACTGGTGGTCCACGCGGGCCACTGGTGGTCCACACGGGCCACTGGTGGTCCACACGGGCCACTGGTGGTCCACACGGGCCACTTTTGGTCCACAAGGGCCACTGGTGGTCCACGCGGGCCACTGGTGGTCCACACGGGCCACTGGTGGTCCATAGGGGCCACTGGTGGTCCACACGGGCCACTGGTGGTCCACACGGGCCACTGGTGGTCCACAAGGGCCACTGGTGGTCCACACGGGCCACTGGTGGTCCACAAGGGCCACTGGTGGTCCACACGGGCCACTGGTGGTCCACACGGCCCACTGGTGGTCCACACGGGCCACTGGTGGTCCACACGGGCCACTGGTGGTCCACACGGGCCACTGGTGGTCCACACGGGTCACTGGTGGTCCACACGGGCCACTGGTGGTCCACACGGGCCACTGGTGGTCCACACGGGCCACTGGTGGTCCACAAGGGCCACTGGTGGTCCACACGGGCCACTGGTGGTCCACAAGGGCCACTGGTGGTCCACACGGGCCACTGGTGGTCCATACAGGCCACTGGTGGTCCATACAGGCCACTGGTGGTCTAAACGGGGGAGAGAGAGAGAGAGAGAGAGAGAGAGAGAGAGAGAGAGAGAGAGAGAGAGAGAGAGAGAGAGAGAGAGAGAGAGAGAGAGAGAGAGAGAGAGCATCAAATGGCTCACTAGGGGTTTCTCCTCCTCCTACAGTGCCTTCCACAACTATCTACTCTGCGTAACGTCGGCGGCGGAGCGGGAGTGTGGGACCCAGGCGGCCCACTTCATTGAAGAGTACTCCTATCGCACAGCTGGACCCATCATTCAGGTACTGACCCACCACCACATACTCCCACCACACAGCCGGACCCATCATTCAGGTACTGACCCATCGCCACATACTCCCTCACACAGCCGGACCCATCATTCAGGTACTGACCCATCGCCACATACTCCCACCACACAGCCGGACCCATCATTCAGGTACTGACCCATCGCCACATACTCCCATCACACAGCCGGACCCATCATTCAGGTACTGACCAATCACCACATACTCCCACCACACAGAGTATCACAGATACTCACCCTTCACTACAGTGTAAAGTGAGTATCTACACCTCAGTGAATATGTCTCCTGTGGCACCAATATGGATAATAATTATGAGTATAGTTATGCCAAGGATAAATTTGGTTAGGTGTCTGAGTTCTGAAGTCAATTATTTGTATTTACCTATATTGATTTTGCGTTCAACTCGCACTTAGTGTGAGTTAAACACCACTAGTCAGTGTCTGTTCAACGCACTTCAACCTGTGTTCAACTCGCACCTCTCTAAATACTCTGCCTACCTACTGAAACCAATATTAAAAATTACCAATACATCCTAAACACTTAACCTAACCTAGGCCTAACTATACAACAAAATTATAATATTAACCAATGTTCATTTATATTTGAGAAAGTGCTAATTTGAAATACTCAGTGGGTTAAATTCTTAACAATATCTTCGAGTATGTCCACTACTTGACAGCCCATACTTTAAGAATGGGTTGATGAAAAAGTATATATATATATATATATATATATATATATATATATATATATATATATATATATATATATATATATATATATATATATATATATATATAGAATATAGCTGGAACTGGAATTTCCATAAGTAATTTCCTATTTAATAATACATCTTTAGAAGGATATTACTTACTTAAGGAAATTCCTGTTTTAATCCTTCTTTCGTAGTCTGACATTGTCATATAATAAATATATATATATATATATATATATATATATATATATATATATATATATAACCTTTCTGGATTTCATTAACGATTGCAATGTTCAACAGACGCGGTGCAAGGTGTACGTGCCGGGAAGCTTAGAGTGTTCACACAGCACGGCCGCCCTCAGCAGCGGGGCGTCCTTCTGGGGCCTTACCCTCCTGCTGGCCGCCACCCTCACCCTCCTGCAGGTGGTGTAGTCACCCACCACCAGCTGGTTGATCCGCTCATCCTTCTGGAGTTGTGATGGTGAGCCAGGAGCAGTAATGGTGAGCCAAGAGCAGGTATTGTGAGCTAAGAGCAATTTAAGATGAGCTAAGAACAGTGATAGTGAGCCAAAAGCAGTGATGGTGAACCAAGAGCAATGATGGTGACCTTTCAGAAAACGTCACAGGTGCTAAAAACTCATAATAATCAATGGTTGTGTTTATATAAATAAATAAAAAGAAATGTGTTATAATTCGACCAGAAATTCCCGGCACTATTCTTGCCAGACGTCTTCGTATACCACGGGAGCTGACACGTGCTTAGCGAAGCGAGGTGGAGTGCCTCTAGTAACTAGTTTAACTTATATATATATATATATATATATATATATATATATATATATATATATATATATATATATATATATATATATAATCTTTAGTCTTGTTAGACAAGGCTATAAACATTATGAAAGTAATTTGTAAACATTGAAACAATGTTAATATATCGTTGTCATGGTTAGAGCATCATATAAATGTTATATATATATATATATATATATATATATATATATATATTATATATATATGTATACATATATATATATATATATATATATGTATACATATATATATATATACCTTCGTGTGTGTGTGTGTGTGTGTGTGTGTGTGTGTGTGTGTGTGTGTGTGTGTGTGTGTGTGACAGGGTGCAGGTAACAGCTGTGTTTAATGTTATGCTTTTTAACGTTAGATAGACTGAGAAAATCCTAAGGAACCCCACGCAGGAGCAGGCGCAGAGATCACCTTACTCGGTGATTGGTCAAGGTGGTGAGGGGAAGAAGCCCAATGATTGGCCAAGGTGTGGATGGAAGGCCAGTGATTAGTCAGAAGGATACGAGAAGCCCAGTGATTAATAAAAAAAAAAAGATAGCAGAAGCCCAGTGATTGGTCAAAGAGACTTTCGATATTGCGGTGCCTATTCATGGTAATGAAGGAAGCCCAGTGATTGGTCCAGGACTCTAGGTGTTACTGAGAATCCTCAATCACAGCGTAATGACGGAATATACTTTTTTTTTTCTCTCCGACCGTAATATATCACTTTTTTGTGTCTGTGCATTGTGTCTGGCCTCCACAATGCTAACTCTCAAATATTCCACCCAGCAAACGACATCAACCCACAAACAATGCTGCTGCTAACCGTTTGTTTACTGTTCTTAGTAATGTCTGTTTACATTAACGCGCGTATGACCATACCGGAGATAATACCGAGTTACCGTTGTTGTTTGTGATCCCCGTTAGCGCTGTGTGTGTGTGTGTGTGAGGGGGAAGTGAACTACTCGTTACCAAGTAAATAACTTTGACTAAGTTTTCCAGATTAAAGTACTGCTTTACGCAGTCGGATAAAGTTTGAATTAGAAGTGTCATGGACGCTAGTTTTGACTTGACTATTGGTTTTTTGACAGCAATTATATATATTTTCCCCTCAAATCATGCTAAATGGAAAAAAAAAATTCCTCAATGCCACTGTTTAAAAAAAAAAAAAATCCCAGGTCCCCTCTTTACTGGTAAATACTTGTCTTTTCCCCCAAGCGGCTTCGTTAATTTGTACAGGAAAACAAATAAAAAAAGAAATTGTGGCTGTTTAAGAAAAGATTTTTCACAGGGGCGCCTCTTAGTGAAGACTGGATGGCGCATGCCTCTTTGGCACGGACAGCACGCTAGGCTTGTGATCCTGTGGTCCTGGGTTCGATCCCAGGCGCCGGCGAGAAACAATGGGCAGAGTTTCTTTCACCCTATGCCCCTGTTACCTAGCAGTAAATTAGGTACCTGGGTGTTAGTCAGCTGTCACGGGCTGCATCCTGGGGGTGGAGGCCTGGTCGAGGACCGGGCCGCGGGACACTAAAAAGCCCCGAAATCATCTCAAGATAATCTCAAGATTGGCTGCCAACTGTCCTCTTGGGGAAAGTTGAGTAAGTGTTGACGAGGATTCGTTGGCTAATCCTCTGCATGTTGCATGAGTCAAAATGAAACATTGTTTGTTCTTTATACACGAAGAACATTGCAAGCTCATTACGAGTGAAAGTGAGCCATTGGATTCATTTTCTGCGTGTAAGTGACTGATTCGATCAGTGATTTACGGATCGAATCGGTGACCTTACACAAGGAATCAGAATCCCTACACAAGGAATCAGAATCCTTACACAAGGAATCAGAATCCATACTCAAGGAATCAGAATCCCTACACAAGGAATCAGAATCCTTACACAAGGAATCAGAATCCATACTCAAGGAATCAGAATCCTTACACAAGGAATCAGAAACCTTACACAAGGAATCAGAAACCTTACACAAGGAATCAGAAACCTTACACAAGGAATCAGAATCAGGTATTTTAGAAGTGAAACATCGGGAACTTTGCTGTGGTTATGACGTCTCACTGGAGGCTTTGGTCGATGGGAGAGCGTTCTGATAGTGGGCAAGCCTATTTTTGATGGGCAAGCCTGCTGGTGATGGGCAAGCCTGTTGCTGATGAGCAAGCCTGGTGGTGATGGGCAAGCCTGGTGGTGATGGGCAAGCCTGCTGGTGAAGGGTAAGCCTGCTACTGATGGGCAAGCCTTCTCCTGATGGGCAAGCCTGGTGGTGATGAGCAAGCCTGGTGGTCATGGGCAAGCCTTCTCCTGATGAGTAAGCCTGCTACTGATGGGCAAGACTTCTCCTGGTGGGCAAGCCTGCTACTGATGGGCAAGCCTGCTACTGATGGGCAAGCCTGCTACTGATGGGCAAGCCTGCTACTGATGGGCAAGCCTGCTACTGATGGGCAAGCCTGCTACTGATGGGCAAGCCTGCTACTGATGGGCAAGCCTGCTACTGATGGGCAAGACTTCTCCTGGTGGGCAAGCCTGCTACTGATGGGCAAGCCTGCTACTGATGGGCAAGACTTCTCCTGGTGGGCAAGCCTGCTACTGATGGGCAAGCCTGCTACTGATGGGCAAGCCTGCTACTGATGGGCAAGCCTGCTACTGATGGGCAAGCCTGCTACTGATGGGCAAGCCTGCTACTGATGGGCAAGACTTCTCCTGGTGGGCAAGCCTGCTACTGATGGGCAAGCCTGCTACTGATGGGCAAGCCTGCTACTGATGGGCAAGCCTGCTACTGATGGGCAAGCCTGCTACTGATGGGCAAGCCTGCTACTGATGGGCAAGCCTGCTACTGATGGGCAAGACTTCTCCTGGTGGGCAAGCCTGCTACTGATGGGCAAGCCTGCTACTGATGGGCAAGCCTGCTACTGATGGGCAAGCCTGCTACTGATGGGCAAGCCTGCTACTGATGGGCAAGCCTGCTACTGATGGGCAAGCCTGCTACTGATGAGCAAGCCTGCTACTGATGGGCAAGCCTGCTACTGATGGGCAAGCCTGCTACTGATGGGCAAGCCTGCTGCTTATCACTGACGGAACGACCATTGTACTTGAAAATAACATTTATATCTAACTTTAAAAAAAAAAATCCCTTTTTCAAAATTTCAAAATAAATTAAATATTACCTTTTTGTCTTCAAGGAATATTAATGACATATTTAAGAAAGGCATTTAAGATCGAAAGGCACTACAGATACATACGGGATTATCAACTATCTTCAGATGTACTTATAAACAGCTTTGGCACGCGGGATACAAGATCCAGTGAGATACATAACAAAATAAATTAAACTTTTCTGTGGAAAAGTTGCATTGGGTCTTGCACAGCAAACTGTATATATGGTCCATGGCCCTCATACGTACTTATACAGCATTCAGTTTATTCATTGTATAAAGGAGAGAGGGGGGAGACCTGCTACATGGGTAACAGCTTCTCCACCATATCGACCAGCTGCATGGGTAACAGCTTCTCCACCATATCGACCAGCTGCATGGGTAACAGCTTCTCCTCCATATCGACCAGCTGCATGGGTAACAGCTTCTCCTCCATATCGACCAGCTGCATGGGTAACAGCTTCTCCACCATATCGATCTACCCAGGCTTTGCGCCCTGGAGAGGAAACTCCGGCCTCGACAACCAGAGCGGAACTCCATAGTCTCCCGAGACTGCAGGATGCCTACAATGCCTCATCAACAGTCTTCTTGAACAAGACGCTCAGTGTCTTCAAGAAGACACTCTTCCTAAATCGGAATCGCACCCAAGGAAGTCATTCATCCACGTATGGAACTACAAATAACGGCCAACAGCAACAGAAAAGCCCAACCTAACCTTCCCTAGGCCCAACTGTACGTAACATATCATTAAATCGATGAACAAATCCACAAGGGCCGTGACGAGGATTCGAACCTGCGTCCGGGAGCCTCCCAGGCCCTTGTGGATTTGTTCATTTGATGCATCACGTTAGTGTGATCTTTATGTGTGTGATTAAAACGATATATAATTTAGTTTATATTTACGCAGTACATTTCAATTGACGAATGCTCTCTCACTAGCACAGACAGCTGCTTGGATGAGCACAGCCTGCGGATAGGTTGATCACTGAGTACTTAAGCTATCTTAGAATATTTAGGGGGGGGTACAGCTGCTTATCAACAGGTGTGTAAGGACTCAGTCTTCTGATCTCAACACAGTCTCGGGCTTAAGGAGGATCTCACCAGTCGTGAAGACCCTCAGAAACACCTTGGATACACTTGTAGCGCTCGAGATAGGTTCACAACACTGCATTGGTGACAATTGGAAACTTGTGAAGATTTTGCTTGTAAATTTACTGAGGTTGTGAGTGGGCGTGATTCCACCCCTACAACTACAAGCATCTATGTCTCCCCTTTAACCTCGTGTGAGGTTGTGAGTGGGCGTGATTCCACCCCTACAACTACAAGCATCTATGTCTCCCCTTTAACCTCGTGTATTTATTGATCCTATTTACTGAATTACATGTATGTATATATGTGAATTAAATATCATTCAATGAGTATATATATATATATATATGCAAGGAGTCGAGTGTACGTGTGGACTCGAGTTGAATTACAAACTCGAGGGTACGAATAGACTCGAATCTATGCAATGGTTTTAGTATATATGTGTGTGTGTGTACATAATGGAGTGTCCTTATTGTGTAGAATGTACTTATGGGCTGTACTGTAAATACCATTGGCAAGTGTTGTGATTATAAGTGGGTGATTAGTGACTTAAGCAGCAGCACGCATCATTTGTAAGTATATCTGGCAACTTGAACAAGTTCATATTAGCGTCTTCTAACTTGAGTGTGCTTTTTACGTCATCACTGGACTTTTAATTCTCAAGTCCAATGACGGTTTTTTTTGGACTTGATTGTATATTAACTTTGCCTGAAATTTTTTTAGTCCGCGTAAATGTTTATGGAGTTAAAATGTGTATATGATATACAGCTGGTGATGCGTTCTAAGTATAGCAACAGTGAGGTTGAACGTGGTGACCAACCCTTGTCACCACCAGGTTTAGGCACTCCTCATCACTGTCAAGTCCCCCTCCCCCCCTCTCCCCCCCCCTCTCTCACCCCACGTCAAGTCTCCTTGACCCCACCAAATATCTAAGTTCCCTCACCTCTTCAATGTACACCCTTCACCCGTATCAACTTGCTCCTTACCCCCATCAAGCCCCACCCCCCCCTCCCAAAAAAATCCTCTTTCACCTCCTCCAAATCCACCCCCCCCTCCCCCTTCAATTCCCCTTCATAGGACCTGCCCAGCATCCCGTTACTAACGTGAAGAGCAATGTCTCCTCTAAGTCAGTATTGTAATAAATAATATGCAACTCTCATTTATTTTTATTTCCCCCACATTAAAATTCATATTTTATAACCAATTTAATACAAAAAAGTCATAAAACAAACCTCAAGAAACGATAAAATGACATTTTTTTTCTTAAATATTTATATTATATATAATTCAAAACATAACATAATTTAAAGAAAAGTATTCAGTCAATGAAGACATATCATTAAAATTATATATTTACTGGAAAACAATGAATCAAAACTCAAGACAAATTCTAAACATGGAGATGTACGAACCTAACTAAAGAGTAACTAATTGCCACAAATTATATTACCAAAGAGAACAAGCTACTTTAAAAAAAAAATAGTAATAAAAGCAAGATCATCTCAGCAAGATTATTTAGCTTCGTGGAAATTATTGCAGACGAAAATAACAGTCATGAATACATTTGCGAACAAAAATAAATTCTACCCAATATTTATGTATTCAGACGATGTATATGTGTGTCTGCGCCGGCTAATTGGGTAACGATACAACGACCCACCGATATCCTAAGACAGCATCCTGATCACCCTCGGCCCTACACAGGCGAGGACAATGAAAGCTTAAAACCGGATGTCTAATTAAGCTGCCCAAAAGCTTCCGGGAGATGGAGAGAGAGAGAGAGAGAGAGAGAGAGAGAGAGAGAGAGAGAGAGAGAGAGAGAGAGAGAGAGAGAGAGAGAGAGAGAGAGAGACATGTTAGCTTCAGGTGAGGGAGGAGACGAAGGGGAGGGTGTTCGACACACACTTAGCGAGGGGGGGGGGTGCTCGACACACTATTAGCGAGAGGGAGTTGGACTCATATGTGCTGGGGGGGGGGGAAGGGGAGGGCGTTTGAACCAAAACTCATGAGACTGAGCGAGACACAATGATAGAAGAAAGCCGGCACAGGTGGGTGTGGGGACCAGGAGCTTAAGCTACAGCCCTCGATCATTAATTCCAGTTTTCATCGCTATATCACCAAATTGTGATATATTAAAATGGGAGGTAAGGGAGAGATCGAGTCATTTTATTCGAAATTTATGGACAATTAAACGATATGTATTGGAAGAAAAAATTTATTAAATTACAGAGGGGTTAACAATTTATATAACCCCCATCTCTCTCTCTCTCTCATGTTCATGTTCACTCAGATGTTCACCTCGACCCATGTTATCACAGGGTATGCGACAAGACAACAATCAGGAATTAAAACACATGCAACAATCTAAAAAAGTGATTGTTCAGGTTTGTTCAAGTGTTCGAGTGTCAATGTATATGATGACACCTTAAGAATACACTGACACACTTGGAGGGTAATACAGCAGTGCGGGTCTGGTCATCAGGATAGTCACTATAGTTATGTGACCAGCTCCCCCCTCCAACCCTCCACCACCAGCTCCCCCTTCCAACCCACCACCACCAGCTCCTCCTCCAACACCCCACCACCACCGGCTCGCCCTCCAACACCCCACCACCACCAGCTCACCCTCCAACCCCACCATCTGATCACTTAACTAGATCTCCCCCAAGCCCCATAACAGCCCCTCTCCCCACCCTTTCACCTATCCTACTGTCCATATGTCCGCCAGTCTCTCCCTCGACCCCCCCCAACCAGCCTTCCTCCACCTATCCAGGTCCAACTCCAGGTCCTCCACCAGCCCCGTCTCCACCAAAACCCCCCCTCCAACACTAGCCCCCTCTCCACCAGTACCCCCCCCCACCTTCCCCCCCACCCACAAGTACCCCTTACCTGGGGGGTAATTATAAAGATGATATCAAGGTGGTAATGGAATAGTTTAGCCCTAATCGCCGTCATCGTCGGGGACGCGCGCCTCTGATTATATTTCCTGCTCCATGAATATAAACGAGGCCTAGTGAAAACTTATCGGAAGGTTGGACCCTTCTCTTCCACTCTCACTCGCTCTCTTTCTCTCGCTCTCTTTCTCTCCCTCTCTCTCTCTCCCCCCCCCCCCCCCCCACTCTCTCTCTCTCTCTCTCTCTGCTGCCCTTAATGATTCTCGTGTCATTTCTGCAAACTAGGTTATTTGATACTTATGACATAGCGAACTGGCGAAGTGCAATTTAGAGAGAAAGAAACAGAATAAGACACATAAGCGACAAGGGGGTTGAGGAGAAGTTTCCCCTACAGAAGAGTGAGAACAGAAACCACTGCAGATGAGACTAAAAAATACGGAATATAATAATAGGTGCATGTATAACCCTTTAGAAATTATATCCCTTACGAGAATTGCTACACAAAATATATATTTGTAGAAATAAGAATTTTTCATTGTAATTTGTTTTTATCATTCATATATCGAGTTAATTTAATCTAAGAAACTGAAATATTTTGAAGCTCAGAAATGGACGAATTAAGTGTGTGTGTCTGTTTTAAAATCCACCAATGACGAATGCTTGAATTTGGCAACCAATCAGGAAAACCCATCAACATAATAAAAAAACGTTCAGTCTTGAGTGAGCATTGACGGAAGATTGACGTGTAAGTGTGCGCAAGGTCCGTGTCGGTCTGTGTGTCTGTCTCTCCCTCTCGTTCCTTCCCTCCCTCCCTCTCTCTCTCTCTCTCTCTCTCACTCTATTTTCCCCTCTCTCTCTCGTTCTTTCCCTCCTTGTCTCTCAAAATTTCCCCTCTCTCTTTCTACTCTCTCCCTCTCTTTCACTGGGGAAGGAGTTCATGAAGCGAGCGAGAGTGGGGTTAGAGAGAGAGAGAGAGAGAGAGAGAGAGAGAGAGAGAGAGAGAGAGAGAGAGAGAGACTATTACAGGTACAAAACAAGTAATGTAGTGTAAGGGAACGGGTTAATGGTATTGGGAGAATTATCGTGGGGGTACGTTTAGCACAGTGCCGCGGTCCTGTCTCTTCTTTCATGCCAACACCATCCTGGCGATGTTGGGCACGTCCCCTACACCAATTACTGGGAAAAATTGAGGGAAGTTAGCACCAAGCATCTAGCCTGGATTTTCTGACAGACAGATAGACATTTTCATTGATAGATACAGATAGAGTAGGAAGAAGTGTAACACAATAGAATTTGAATCAATGGGTATAATTTTGATAAGTTTAGATTTAGGAAAACCTGGGTAAATACTGGTTTGGAAACATGATTAGGGTAAACCACACTACTGGTTTAGTCTGCCAGGTAACAGTGTTGAGGAAGGGTATTTAGGTAATTTGTAAACATATAAATTACTTCAGCAGATTATATTTTCCTCATATTTTGTATATTTTGGTTTACCTTCAGAACCCGGTATAGGGTCCCGGTAGTACTGTCGAGTTCGTTCTCGACTCACAATCGACAATTTCAGGGTTCGAATCCCGGACGCGATAGAAATGGTTAACCACATTTCCTATCACCTAATGAAGCTGTTCATCTAGCAGTAAGTAGGTTTCCAGGAGTTAGTCAGCTATTGTTGGGTTGCATCCTAGTGGATGAGGTTAGTAATTCGACCCTTGGGGGGGGGGTACTAGGATATAACCCTAATACATATATATACACTGGTTTCCTGTCCCCCGACATAATTAATTATTAGTAGTAGTAGTAGTATTATGTATGTCGAACCCATGAGCACCACACCAGAAATAAATACAGTTTTGATATTCCTAGAGTACGACTTAATCAAACTAGAAATGCTCTACAAATCAAGGGACCCAGAATGTGGAATGACCTTCCCAACCATGTTAAAGACTGTACCTCTCTCAACCAGTTTAAGATAAAAACTAAACACTACCTAATAAATTCCCTGTAACCTACCTCACTCCTCTATTGTCAACCCATGTCTGTTATTTTATTTTTTTTTTTTTTAATCAACACTGTTTGTCAACCTATTGTATTTGTGCTGCTTTTTCAGTCATGTTCCCCCTTTTTTTACCTTTATTTGTATTTGTTTTCAACACTTTTTATTCTTTATGCTCAATTAGTATTAAGTTCTAGATATTAATGTTTTTCTTGCCCGAAACGCATTGCGTAATAGTGGCTTTAGGCATTGTATGTACTAGCTCTATCTATATATCAATCCATTAATGTAACATCACTTGTATGTATGTACCTTACCTGAATAAACATATTTATTTATTTATTTATTTATGTGTAACAGAAACAATTTTTGAGTTATCCCTAAAATATCTTCAGTTTTCTGTATTCATCAAGCATTTTATAACACGAAATTGATAGAAAATGAAAGTCCTTGACGTTTTAAGAGTACCAAAACTATATTGCTGCTTGGCTTAAAAGTCAACACACTGGAATGATTGGAAGCTGGAAGATATGTTCCCTGAAGAGTGAGATCACCCGAGAGGCCGAGAGGGTATGGATGCATAGTAGGCCTACAAAGCCATTTACCTAAAGAATAAAAATGGATTGTTAGATCACTGTTATATGGATTATCTGTGAAATATAGTTTAATGAATAACAAATTAATAGCTGTAGTGTATATAATAATATATGAGACAAATTCACCTGTCCTTACATTTATTGCGTTCCTATTTTGACGCTGTCGACCACAACGTTAAAATTTAGGTGTTTTATGGACTAACATTCTGTTTCTCGGCATTAATAAGTCAGGCGGAGTGCCTGTGGTCAAACGCTTCTGGCCGGACAAAACCACTTTAATCTGACGTGAGCAATGTCGTCCAAATTCCACATTAAGAATATGGTGGCTTTTCCGTAACTGTTCTTGTACCCATTCGTAACTACCCACTGTTTTTACCTGGAAGCCACCATCTCTCTAGTGGCCTCAACAGGGACACGAAGCCGGCGGCTTGTAAAAATTTATCAATTGTTCTTAAGGCTTTTATTTTTCCAACTGGATTTTGAACGTCAGTAATGCCTTGGCATTTACGGCTTGTGCGGGTAGGCGGTTCCACGGGTTTATAACCTAGTGGGTGAAAAAGCATCTCCTATTTTATGTCTTGCATTGTTGCTTATTGAGCTTGAGGCTGTTGACCCCTTGTATGTGTTACATGTGATCTCGTGCATGTTTTTCCTCTCAAATATAGATCAACATAATAGGCCTAAGTAATTATCAAAAGAAGGCACCAAGCCGGGAAGAAAAAGTTTGAGGAGGTTTAATAACTTCTGCTCTTTTTTTTTTTTTTTTTTTTTAGATATATACAAGAGTTGTTACATTCTTGTACAGCCACTAGTACGCGTAGCGTTTCGGGCAAGTCCTTAATCCTACGGTCCCTGGAATACGATCCCCGCCGCGAAGAATTGTTGTTACAACCAAGTACACATTTTACTGTTGCGTTAAACAGAGGCTACAGTTAAGGATTTGCGCCCAGTAAATCCTCCCCGGCCAGGATACGAACCCATGACAATAGGTTCAATGACAATGCTCTGTTGAAATCTTAATGGGTTTGTAACTGTGCACTGTGTTAGATAATGTTCCAGTGGTCTGTCGGGTATTTCTCCACAGTGCTGACATTTCCTCTCATCTTCCGGAACCTGTAAGCCTATTTCCCATGCACGTGTGTATCCAAGCCTGATGCGATGTAATAAAGGTATCTATTAATGCATTAGACAAATTTCCCAAAATATTCAGTTCATTTACCAATTCTGCCTAAAAAATATACACTATACGTTATCACATACAACTTGTGTTGCATAAACAGATATACCTTTACAAATAACCCACCTATACCTTAAAACAATATGTAGCAAAAATGACAAATCTCTATAACGATTATATAATTGTTTTTTTTTTTGTGATATATACAAGAGTTGTTACATTCATGTACAGCCACTAGTACGCGTAGCGTTTCGGGCAGGTCCCTGGAATACGATCCCCGCCGCGAAGAATCGTTAAATCGTTAAATCGTTGTTTTAAATAATCAAACATTACGAGTATACAATCATATCCAACGCTTACAAGAAATAATATATGTAAACAAAATTATTCAAAGATCACAAAACCACAGCCTGGGAGATACCTGGGAGATACCTGGGAGGTACCTGGGAGGTACCTGGGAGGTACCTGGGAGGTACCTGGGAGGTACCTGGGAGGTACCTGGGAGGTACCTGGGAGGTACCTGGGAGGTACCTGGGAGGTACCTGGGAGATACCTGGGAGATACCTGGGAGGTACCTGGGAGGTACCTGGGAGGTACCTGGGAGGTACCTGGGAGGTACCTGGGAGGTACCTGGGAGGTACCTGGGAGATACCTGGGAGATACCTGGGAGGTACCTGGGAGATACCTGGGAGGGGAACCGTCCAGTGGGAGAGCTCAGACTGAAGTGAGCCTAACCTGGGCGAATAGAAACTATTACAGTTACGAACCGGGAAAAATTAAATGAAAGAAAACAAGAAAAGGGGAAACTAAACTAATTCATTTACAAATTCTATTTCAACGTAAACATAGCACCTGAAACTTTTAGATAACTTAATTGGCGCAGCTGTCGGACCAAACACCCAACCATCTGGGGTCAGACTGAAAAACCACATTTGCAATCCGTCCTCCTATTAGCGCGTCGTATTTTGACGCAAACTTTACCTATGGCCAAAAACTGTCGTACTAGGAAGCGGCTCGCGAAATTGACATAATATCCCGTTTTCTGTTCGCAGGTCCTCTGGTTGGTTAGGATAAGGCCCTTTAGTACGTCAATTTCATGACGTTGGGAAACGCTCGCGAGAACATGCTGCATAAACACCTCCCCTCCAACACACACACACACACACACACACACACACACACACACACACACACACACACACACACACGCCAACCATTCCTAGATACCAAACACGCTGTGCAACTGGCACTACAGAATTTAAGCAATTTATTTAATCAAATCCAAACCCTGTTTTCATCATCAAATCATGGCTAACTCTCAGATATAATCCCATTTTCCAACACTTTCACGCGTAGAGACTCAACAGTACTTAATAGCATCACTGAACCAACAACACACGACTATAAATACAGGGCAAGTAAGTAAGTAATTATCAAAAGAAGGCACCAAACCGGGAAGGCAAAATCAGGGCAAACATACATGAATTTTGTATTCACTGCCACGTTCCAGAAACATGTGAACATTACCTCTTTCAGTCATTGAAGTAATTTTAAACAAGCGATTATCACGCTCAAAATGCGAGAGATCTTTCACTAATATATATATATATATATATATATATATATATATATATATATATATATATATATATATATATATAGGCTGAGAAGTGCGTTCTGGCTACTAGGTACGACATATATATATATATATATATATATATATATATATATATATATATATATATATATATATAATGTCGTACCTAGTAGACAGAACTCACTTTTCAGCCTACAATGCAAGGCCCGATTTGCCTAATAAGCCAAGTTTTCATGAATTAATATATTTTATCTAATTTTTTTCTTATGAAATGATAAAGCAACCCATTTCATTATATAAGAGGTCAATTTTTTTTATTGGAGTTAAAATTAACGTAGATATATGACTGAACCTAACCAACCCTACCTAACCTAACCTAACCTATCTTTATAGGTTAGGTTAGGTTAGGTAGCCGAAAAAGTTAGGTTAGGTTAGGTTAGGTAGGTTAGGTAGTCGAAAAGCAATTAATTCATGAAAACTTGGCTTATTAGGCAAATCGGGCCTTGCATAGTAGGCTGAGAAGTGCGTTCTGGCTACTAGGTACGACATATATATATATATATATATATATATATATATATATATATATATATATATATATATATATATATATATATATATATATGTCGTACCTAGTAGCCAGAACGCACTTCTCAGCCTACTATGCAAGGCCCGATTTGCCTAATAAGCCAAGTTTTCATGAATTAATTGTTTTTCGACTACCTAACCTACCTTAGCTGACCTAACCTAACTTTTTCGGCTACCTAGCCAAACCTAACCTATAAAGATAGGTTAGGTTAGGTTAGGTAGGGTTGGTTAGGTTCGACCATATATCTACGTTAATTTTAACTCCAATAAAATAAAATTGACCTCATACATAATGAAATAGGTAGCTTTATCATTTCATAAGAAAAAAATTAGAAAAAATATATTAATTAAGGAAAACTTGGCTTATTAGGCAAATCGGGCCTTGAATAGTAGGCCAAAAAGTGAGTTCTGGCTACTAGGTACGACATATATATATATATATATATATATATATATATATATATATATATATATATATATATATATATATATATATATATATATATATCTAATATCAGCAGCCAAAGCATTGGCTCAATATGTCCAGTCGACCAAAAATTAGGCCACACACATTTGACGTACTCATAAAACTCAAACCCCCGGGACAGTCAGACATGGAAACTGAAGCCCTAATTACAAATAACAGGAACGACCAGCTGAAGCTGTAAACACAACAGCCAGCCCTCGTCGCCGGCGCCGCCGCCGCCACGTGCTTCAAGGCTAACTCTAAGACGCACCTTGTCCGGTCGTCAGCCTGGTATCACCTGAAAACAACACCAACTACTGCTTCCAAGCCTGGCCAACCGATACACTGAAGTGCTATTGTGACGCGTCTCCCGACATTACCATTCTCGCAGTCATCGGAAGGCGAACCTGTCACGGCAACTACGTCTGTGGGTTGTGTGCCAACTGGCAGTTGCCGAACTGGCTGTTAGTTAGCTAGTAATTGGATGAGGTTATTTTAATGTTAAGTGCTTCTGCAATGTCCTGTACCCAATTATCGTAATGTCTGTCGAATACTTCAGTGTTGTTGATTCAGGATCTCTCTGATGGTGGCTTGTTGTGTACAGAAATAGTGATTTCAATGAGAGTGTAATTATATGTTTAGTACGAACTTATTAATGAAGTTTCATGCAAATAAATTGGATATTTACATATGTGTGAAGAGTCATTCGAATGCTACGGATCAAGTACTATATTTTACTTATCTGTTTATTTTGTATCTGCATTATCTATGTTTGCCTTTGTCAATTATTTTTAATTCTCCATTTTTTCAGACCATTTACATCTTCTGTCCATCTCTTCTTCAGACCATTGGTACGTTTCGTCTGTCTCCTCTGAAGACCATTGGTACGTTTCGTCTGTCTCCTCTGAAGACCATTGGTACGTTTCGTCTGTCTCTTCTTCAGACCATTGGTACGTTTCGACTGTCTCCTCTGAAGACCATTGGTACTTTTTTTCCGTCCACTCTTCAAATTATTAGTATCTTGTGCCCATCTCTTCCTCAAACCATTCGTATATGTTTCTGTCCTCGTCGGTTCTGGGAACCACATTTCCATTCGACAACTGGTCGTGTCACTCGACCTTGGCCTTGCCTCTGCGGCAGCAGTTGAGGCACCTGGTGAGGCAGTAGCAGAAGAGGAAGACCAACACGGCCAGGACCAATAGCCAGAAGAGCAGGACGTCAAGCAACAGGTACTGGAACAGGTGGAGGTTCTTGCCAGCGTAGAGGAGGTGGGGCGACCCCTTGTGGCGGATGGCGTACTCCACCCACCACACAGCCCGCGCCCCGGCGCTCTCCTTCTGGTCCTGTAGCGTCACCGACACCTTCCTTAGTCCCTCCTGGTACCTGTGGTGATGGAGGCGTGGTCAGTGGTCCCCCCCAGTCTACAGTGATGGAGGAAAGGTCAGTGGTCCCCAGTCTACAGTGATGGAGGAGAGGTCAGTGGTCCCCAGTCTACAGTGATGGAGGCGTGGTCAGTGGTCCCCTCCAGCCTACAGTGATGGAGGCATGGTCACTGGTCACCAGTCTACAGTGATGGAGGAGAGGTCAGTGGTCACCAGTCTACAGTAATGGAGGAGAGGTCTGTGGTCCCCCAGTCTACAGTGATGGAGTCTACAGTGACACTGCATGCTTCCTCATCTTAATATTTACATATATTTGACTTTATTTATTTTCAGTTACATTTCCTGTTATATTATTATGTGTATATGGTGCGCTAGTTAAAATGTATAAAATATTCAATACTTACTATAGATTAATGAATTACGGGCCAGGATCTATCTAACATTTACACCACCAATTACGAAACAGAATCTGGCTGACTTTATAATAATCCCCTTCAACTGTAAAGTTTCGAAACTCGTAATCGAATCAAATAAAGATGTACCGGATTCGGAAATGGACACGTAAATGCTCAATGAATCCTCGCCAAGCACCTGGAAAATCTTACGAGGGGTCGTTGATGAGTGTGTTGATAGCTTGCAGAAAGGCATCAACGCTCAAGTCCTGCCAATTGAGGACCAGAGCGTAGCCTTTGTTGGCCAAGCGGGCAGCGTTGCGAGGCTGGTCGAATGCTATGGGCATGGCGAGGACGGGCACGCCGTGGTACAGGGCCTCCTGCGTGCCCTGGTTCCCACAGTGGGAGACGAACACCCGCGTCCTCCTGTGTCCTGCAGTACCGAACACAGAGTGTGACCGAAAGTAAACACCTTCGCTGTTCATAATGACAGCCACGATAATAGCGTGCTAAGGTATATTGAAATGTGGTAACATGCATTTTTTTTCTGTGACAGGTTCCTGGAAGTCAAAGTTATCTAATTGGCTCTCATTTAGACTATCATTCTAGACAGAACTTTTGCAAGAGTCTAGCTAGTATGAATAGAACCTTGTTCCAGAGAGGGTCCGTGTCCTACCTAGGGATGGCCCATGTCCTAGCTGGACAAGAAGGCCCGTGTCCTAGCAGGACAAGGCCCGTGTCCTAGCAGGACAAGGCCCGTGTCCTAGCTGGAGAAGGCTCGTGTCCTAGCTGGACAAGGCCCGTATCTCACCTAGGATGTCTTGCTGGGGGATCCACTTCCTGGTGAGGACATTTGGGGGAAGGTGGAGGTCGTCTCCCTCGTACTTCCAGACGACCCGCTGAGGCAGCTGCCGGAACGCCTCCACCAGCATCACCTGCAACACTAACAGCATCAACACCTGCGACACCAACAGCGTCAACACCTGTAACACCAACAGCGTCAACACCCGTAACACCACCAGCTCCAAGACCTGATGGCGCTCACCCTTTGTTCCCCCTCTCTCTCCCCCCCCCCCTTCCCTCACCTTGTATTCCTGTGGGATGTGGAAACTCTTGACAATACTGCCGAGGCTGAAGAGGATGACTCCGTTCTCGCCGGCGCCCTCCATGAACTCCTCCAGATCCTGCGGGGAGAGGAAGGGTTCAGGCGCGTCTCTCCAAGTAGCTGCCATGCTGCCTTGAACCTTGACCTTATTCCAGAGGTTAAGATCATCCTTGAGACTATACTGCTATAAAGTGACCTCCCGCGCGGGTACTCCCGTGTCCCGACCTCTCTCTCTCAAGATCAAACCAAAATTCTGGCTGAGTCTCCCTTTCTCTTCCTCCCACTGTTCCTTTCCTATCTTCTCTTTTTCTATCCTTTCCCTTCTGTCTCTGCTTCCCTGTCCCATCCTTTCTACCCCCAATTTAAACTATTTCAATTAAAACAAATTAATTGAAATAAGGATGGTGGGGAGAGAGGGGTTGTGTATTTTCAAGGTTGGGCTGAAGTCTCTTGACATATCCGTTGTAATACGAAGGGCTCCCGGAAGTCTAATGGCAGAGAAGGAGGTCCCTTTACGTGAAGGGTGGGCAGATTTTAATGACGTAAATCTGGTGGTGGGTGGGATATCTTGACTTACCTGTAGGAATGAGCAGGGTCTCCTATCTTACCTATGGGAGGGGTCGAGGTCTCCTTACTTACCTGTGGGAGTGGACGAGGTTTCTTGGCGGAGATGGTGCCCACCTCCACCTGAGTGGGCAGGAGAGGCACGGGGCCGTCCACAGCGAAGTGGCTGTTGATGAGAGTCAGCGAACTATTCGAGTAGAGGTGTCTTAGGGGCGGCATCCCCGGGAAGTACTCCTCCAGCAGCTTCTGGGCGCGGGGAAGCACCGTGACTGAGTGCAGCACATACCGATAAACGATAACTATTGGGTTTATGGCTCGCTGAAGGAAGGTCATGTGCTGGGTGAAAGGTAACATCAATGAAGGCACGACGGCCGCAGACAAGATGTTACCCTGTTGCGCAATTTGTGTAAACACTATTCCTGGCGTGACGAAGGTGATGTATACGCCATTGTAACCCAGCAAGAAGGGAACTGCGACCTCGTTTATATAACTGGTAATTATTATGGCGTGGAAATCATTTCTTCTCTCCCAGAGCTGATGTACTGCTGGGTTAGTCCACATCCCTTCGACAATTTCCACTGTGGCTTCTTCTATAAAGTTACTGGTCAGGTGAATTTTGTCTCCAATGTCAAAAATGTTGGTGTCAGTCATGACAAGGTTGTCGGAGCCGGTGTGGACCTCCGTCACGTTGCCATGACTGGAAACACAGACATAAGTGTAGGACTTTTCGTCAATAACACAATGTTTCTCCCGTTAATAACAATAACACAATGTTGCAACCCGTTCTCGCACTTGCTTATAGTCAATATTAGCTTATTTAATAAGTACATATGTGACATACTAATTGATTGTGAATATTTTAGTTTACCTTGAAAAGCTTCATAGAAAACACTAACCTCACCTAACCTTCTTAGTATGTTAAGATAAGCATCTTATTGCTTCTTATTTACAATTATTACTTAACCTATACCGTTGATAGGTATAGGTTACATAATACAAGTGTTGTTACATAAAACTTAGATATTATCATTATCAGGTTCAGAATCCAAAACTTTATTCATAACTTATGCGATTCGTTACAATAATGACGAGATTAAACAGGTGTAGTGCAGACTTAATTAAAAATAGAATTTGGCATAAACTGAGTGACATCTAGCTTACAATATGAACGGTGATACATATTGGAAAAGCAAAGTGGGGTTTATCATTACTAACTACAAGACAGACATTGGCACAATTTGATTCTTAAAGCTTTCAAGGCTTTTAAGTCTCTATAGAGTGTCAGAGACGAAGTTCCTCAATACTTATAAACGACTAAGGTCCTGCAGCACTTACTGCGTAGAAGCTTCGAATGAAGATACCAGAGTGACGGAGTGGCCTGCGTCTCCCAGGGCCTCCGAGAGCGACCGACTCAGGTGGTAGAGGCTGCGAGAGCCAAGAGGAATAAGGACGAGGACCCGGTAGCCTGCAGAAGGCCCCGTCGTCGCCAGCAGGAGCGCCGCTAACACACCCCACTGCATCCTGCCCGTCCTCATTGACGAGTCCCACTGACACAGAAGCTAGCAGAGGAAAGAAAAAAAATTAAAACCAAATGGAGGCCCTAGGCCTAGTATGGCACATATATGTACGACTAGGTCTAAGATAACGTGTATTAGGCAGAGAATTGCTAGGAGACGTTAGTTGATTTATGCAGCGGGTGAAACCTTTTCCGGGTTTTCCAAATCCAGCAGTACAGACGTCACCGTTCAGGACGCCCATCACCACTTGGGGAGCCGGTCGGCCGAGCGGACAGCACGCTGGACTTGTGATCCTGTGGTCCTGGGTTCGATCCCAGGCGCCGGCGAGAAACAATGGGCAGAGTTTCTTTCACCCTATGCCCCTGTTACCTAGCAGTAAAATAGGTACCTGGGTGTTAGTCAGCTGTCACGGGCTGCTTCCTGGGGGTGGAGGCCTGGTCGAGGACCGGGCCGCGGGGACACTAAAAGCCCCGAAATCATCTCAAGATAACCTCACGATAACCTCAAGATAACCACATTCTGGTGCTTCCCGCCAAAGAGTTACTCTAGGAACTTTCATTTTAGGAGGTTACCTTGAGGTGCTTCCGGGGCTTAGCGTCCCCGCGGCCCGGTCGTCGACCAGGCCTCCTGGTCGGAAGGAACCACTCTAACATTGCACCTGATAACGAACTACAAAGCTCCATTAGATAACACCATCTTTACACACAACCATGACCAGAGATATCCTGACCAGCAAGACCGATCCAGTTGCGAGACACAGCGACGGTGGGTGATTAAGAGATCAGAGAACCACTTAATGCCGTGTACTTATCAGCAGAAAGACACTTAAGTATATTCTCAGTGTAATGCCTCTGCAGAATTTCAGAATATATTGTGTGTGGGTAATATTTATCTCATCGTTCCGTCATAGGAGTAGTAGTAGTAGGCGTCCATCAGTCTCAGGAGACTATGGAGTTGCACTCTGGTTGTGGGTCTGGAGTGGCCTCACCAGGGCGCGTCATAGGAGTACGATATGCACTTTACTCCGTGGTAAACACAGGGCGTCACGGTCACAGAGGTGTGTGTGTGTGTGTGTGTGTGTGTGTGTGTGTGTGTGTGTGTGTGTGTGTGTGTGTGTGTGATGTATAACACGTAAACACCTCCAGTATATTATCTGTTGCTTTATGATGAACAAGGTACACGGGGGAACAATTACATTCTGAACAGCCGCTAGCCGTCTAGACGTCTACTCTCATGCCAGAAGAAACACAGCAACCTTGAACAAACAAATCAACAACATAGGCTGGTCGGCACATCGACGACTCCCTTCTTACTGGTCGGCGTTCGATTCCCAACGGTGCAAGCGGTTGGGTACCATTGCTTCCCTCCGTCCCTCCGTCCCACCCCAGATCCCTGTCCCTATGTCCCATGCTATAAGCCTACTGGTTTAGCTTTTTTTCCAATAATTACCTTTTAAACATCCTCCGTGACTGTATTAATACAAATACACAAAAAATCGGGATCAAAGAGCCAGAGCTAAACCCCAGCAAGCACATCTAAGTGAGTACAAATGGAGTGTATAACATTTATTAGCATCTAGCTAGCCCAAGTCTTCAATAAAAACTAGTAAAATTAAATATTATACTAAATACATATATATGAACGTAGGCGTATTGTATGTGTGAGATACAACAGCATGTAGAAAGACCCCGGAAACTAATGGGTACCGTAGGTCAAGTTAATGTGGAAAACTGCAAGTAGGCAAACTATACAGTGACTGGAAATAGGCACACTATACAGTGACTGGAAATAGGCACACTGTACAGTGACTGGAAATAGGCACACTATACAGTGACTGGAAATAGGCACACTATACAGTGACTGGAAGTAGGCACACTATACAGTGACTGGAAATAGGCACACTGTACAGTGACTGGAAATAGGCACACTATACAGTGACTGGAAGTAGGCACACTATACAGTGACTGGAAGTAGGCACACTATACAGTGACTGGAAATAGGCACACTATACAGTGACTGGAAATAGGCACACTATACAGTGACTGGAAGTAGGCACACTATACAGTGACTGGAAATAGGCACACTGTACAGTGACTGGAAATAGGCACACTGTACAGTGACGGCAAGTACATACAGCAAAAGCTATACACTAACACTGAACACAACTAACATATCTGACCACCATTTAGCCATCTAGTAAACTGCTGACCCTCAGACACTCCCCCATTTCCCAACCACCTGCAGCATTTCAGAAGCTCCTTATTCTGCTCATGAACGCCATAATAACACGAATATGTATATAGAAAGACTTAATCAAATTATTACCAAATGTGAGTAATCAAAGGCGGTTGAGAGCAGCAAAACTTACCTTGTCTATGTCTCTCCCGTAACTAAACGACGCTCCCAAGTCGTCCCGATGGCGCGGTAGCTAGGGCGCATGCGCCGAACTTCCCCCCCCCCCCCCCAAAGAGGAGGTGGGGTGGGTATGGTCAAATCGTACACAAGACTTAGTTTATCGTACACAAGACGATTCGACAAAGCTAGTTTTCAGATTATATATATATATATATAATATATATATATTATATATATATATATGTCGTACCTAGTAGCCAGAACGCACTTCTCAGCCTACTATGCAAGGCCCAATTTGCCTAATAAGCCAAGTTTTCATGAATTAATATATTTTCTCTAATTTTTTTCTTATGAAATAATAAAGCTACCCATTTCATTATGTATAAGGTCAATTTTTTGTTATTGGAGTTAAAATTAACGTAGGTATATGACCGTACCTAACCAACCCTACCTAACCTAACCTATCTCTATAGGTTAGGTTAGGTTAGGTAGCCGAAAAAGTTAGGTTAGGTTAGGTTAGGTAGGTTAGGTAGTCGAAAAACAATTAATTCATGAAAACTTGGCTTATTAGGCAAATTGGGCCTTGCATAGTAGGCCTAGAAGTGCGTTCTGGCTACTAGGTACGACATATATATATATATATATATATATATATATATATATATATATATATATATATATATATATATATATATATATATATTATAATATATATATAAGTCGTTACTTTCCACAAGAAGTTGCATTTGTAACGTTGGATACCGTAAGGTATAAAACGCGACCAGTTACATAAGAGAACGGGTTACAGAATTACTAGTAGTGTAAATGTGGACATTGACCACTAAAAATGTCTAACATTTCGGCCACGTTTAACAACCAAACATCGCGAGTCAATGAAAATTTCGGGTGTTTTTAATCATTTTTATTTCAAATTTATTTTCGAAAATATAAAGAATTTGCATACGAAACAAAACAGTATAATATATAAATGTGGAATTTTGGCATCAGCGGCTGGAAAATATCTTTGGCAGTGCAGTTCATAATGAACTTTTAAGGTTCCAGGTGTATGTTTACATCTGGCTGGTGTAGCTTTGATGAGATGACGTCTTAGTGAAGGTGTGAGACGTGAGACCGGCTCTTTCCTCTTTCTTCTCGTGACAACTTTCCTCTTGGATGCTGCTGCTGCTGCTGCTGTTCTCGCTAGCGCCTGCGTGATGGAACGTCCTCTCGGCTTGGGACGTCGTCTTCACTCTGGCGTCCCTAGAGCTTTTGGACGCCTTGATAGTGAGGACGCCGTCAGACGACACCGCAGAGGTGATAGCCTCCAAGTCCATGCCGGGAAGATTGAAGCGACGGCTGAAGTTCTTGGTGGACTGGAAGTTTCCTTCTGTCTTCTCCACGCGGCCTTCAACCACCACCTCGTCCTGGCCTACTGCTTTCACCTTGACATCTCCGCTCATGAAGTCACGCACGTCAATCACCACCTAAAGAGAGTAATGTCATGTATTACATAGCACTGATGTACTAACAATCATCACTCTTCATGAAAAGAGGCATAATTTTTAATAATAATAATAATGCCTAATATCATTACTTAACAAAAACACATTGAAGATCTAAATGTTTCGCCAGAGCAATAAACTGTTATTGGAAGATTACTTTGATTGGCTCCTTGAATGGCAAGGCACGATAGAAAGTTGGATTTATAAATTCGCAAATCAAAACACATATACCGTCTAATATAGCCGATTGTAACCATGACATGTATAGGCCTACACTTTAGACCTATTGTCTTGTGTATGGTCCTCTATCCTGTGTGACAGTGAATACGAGCATCATCCTATTTCGCGGGAAATAAGACCTACCTGAATTACTAAGTTTAGTCAAAATTGTGATTAATTTTGTCAATAAAGATATTAATAATAATAACATATTTAATAACAATTATGTGCTACATATCCTTCCCGGCTCGGTGCCTTCTTTTTGATAATTACTTACTTAATAACAATTAGTTACCATCGTCACCCACCTGGTAAGTGTGTGGTGTCTCGGTGACCTTAAGTGCCTGGTTGTCGTCACTCAGGTGGCACTCTCGCAGACTCCTGTAGAAGCACAGGTCGTCAGTGTCAGTCTTCAGGTCTGTAAACTTGGTCAGAATCTCCTTTACCGCAGCTTGAAAGTTCTCGCGAGCATCTTGGAAGAAGGAGTCGTGGAGGAAAGGCCCCTTCTGGTATACTGGCAGCTCTGACTCCATCCCCCAAGGGTATGCATTCACCGGGAAGTTATTCGTGGCCGTTTCTTGGCGGCTCGAGTCTAACGTTTTAGACTCAGAAGACGCATTGAAGAGTCTTCTGCTGGTTGAAGACTTTGTGGTAGTTTTCTGGGCCTCAACATTCGAATGTCCATCGAGAGAACTTCGTCTTGCCTCGGCTGAGGTTAGCTTCGAAAGTTTTGAGTTTCTTACGTTTGATGATAGGTTTTTCACCTCCTGTTTCACGTTAATCTTGCTGGCGTCCGCACTATCATGGCTTACTATTGTTGTTTCAGAATGTTCCTGTTAAAGTAGAAATATTATTAACGGAGAAAAGCCATGAATGTATTGTTAACATATGCTGAATATCGATCAAAAGTTTAGTAAATTGAACAAAATATTGTTTTTTTCCGACTTAAAATGCGAACCTTTTTAGGCACAGTGACTGTGAGGACACCGTCGGAGGACATGGTGGAGGTCACGGCCTCTGGCCTCACCAGACCAGGGAAGGAGAACAGCCGCCGGAATCTCTTCTTGGAGACGGAGCCTTCCTTCCGCTGCTCCACGCTGCCCTCCACCACCAACTCGTTCTCATCAACCATCTTCACCTTCACGTCTCCACTCAGGAAGTCTCGCACGTCAAGCACCACCTGCAGACAGAAGAAAAGTTTTTTAGTATTTAAAATCGTTAAACTGTAATTATTACATCACAAAATTTGCTCTAGTCCCGCATTAACACGCGTACTACGCAATTAGAATCAAGCTCTTACCATTCCTTCCCGTAGTCCCATCCCAAATTTTTATCCTGACCCCTTCCAAGTGCTATAAATTCATAATGGCTTGGCGCTTTTCCCTGATAATTCAATTTCTTTAGAAATTTACTTCAAAGTATGTAACAAACTTTCTTAAGCCAGTAACTTCCTGCAACATCTATACCTTGTGTGACTGATGGTTCTCGGTGACGGAAACTGCCTGGTTCTCCTCCTTCAGGTCACGTTCTCGCAGACGTCTGTAACTGGTCATGTGGTCGCTCGCAGGAGCTTCTTCCCAGTAGTCCACAATCCTCTTTACCGCCGCCTCAAAGTCCTGGTGAGTTTCTGTGAAGAAGGAGTCGTGGAAGAAGAGGCCTCTGTGAGATATTGGTAACAGGAAGTCTGACGTTTGGTCTGGCGAGGATCTTCCTGTAGCGGAGGTGTTGGTCGGCGTCTGGCTGTTTGTGGATACTTTTGTGGCTTCACTATTATTATTAAATAGTTTTGAGTTATTACTTTTGTGTTCCTTAAGTTGTGTCGTCCTTGTCGATTCACTGCTCATTTTCTTATGTAGATGATTGACGGATTTATTTACGCTTTGTTCCTGAGTTCCATGAACTGTGGAGGAGTTGTCTGTCCTGTTGACATCAACTTGTGTTGACTGTGGCAGATGTTCCTGCAGAAAACAAGAATAATTGAGAACTAAATTCATCATAGAGTTCAATTTATTTTTTTACTTTTGCATTTTTAATAATACATGAAATCCCAGCAATGATCTGTACTTCAATAATATATGGTCTACCAAGTTGCAGTTGGTCTACCTAGCGTCAATTCAATGGAAAACGTTAAGGTAATACGACCAACCGTTGAAACCTAGAAACCCCAACCAATCCTTCCTAGAGGAATAAACTCCTCATAAACTATCTCATAAAACATGAGATAATTACTAATAAACAAGATGACTCTATAGACCTAGATAAAAACTCTAACTATGAACAAATTACTACATTCGTATTCTTTCCAAACTCATTGCATGATGCTGTTGGAGTTATGGAAAGTGGAATGACTTTGTTTCGTGGGTTTAAAGAGAATATACGAATTTGTTCAAAGTAAGGCAAAACTCTATTCACCATTATGTCTAGATAAGTTAGTCTGAGAATTCTATCTTCAACTGGAACCTAGCATACGGCTAAAGGATACTGCTATCGTTCCCTAGGTACTCGCTCTGTGAAGAGATAGAATATAGGAAGCGCATGAAAGGGCCTGTGGATACGTGTTAGAACTCATACTATAGAAACACCCACTAATATGTCATTATATTGACTTTGATACAAACCTTCTTGGGCACAGTGACTGTGAGGACACCGTCGGAGGACATGGTGGAGGTCACTGCCTCTGGCCTCACCAGACCAGGGAAGGAGAACAGCCGCCGGAAACTCTTCTTGGAGACGGAGCCTTCCTTCCGCTGCTCCACGCTGCCCTCCACCACCAACTCGTTCTCATCAACCATCTTCACCTTCACGTCTCCACTCAGGAAGTCTCGCACGTCAAGCACCACCTTCAGGCAGAAGAACAGCTTTTTAGTTTTTAAAATCATTAAACTGTAAATATTACATCACAAAATTTGCATTAATTTCCCCATAAACATGCGTATTACGCAGATGGAATTAAGCTCCTAGAGAAATAAACTTTAGAGTATATGATATAAACATTATTAAACCCGTAACTTCCTGCAATAGCCATACCTTGTGTGACTGATGGTTCTCGGTGACGGAAACTGCCTGGTTCTCCTCCTTCAGGTCACGTTCTCGCAGACGTCTGTAACTGGTCATGTGGTCGCTCGCAGGAGCATCTTCCCAGGAGTCCACAATCCTCTTTACCGCCGCCTCAAAGTCCTGGTGAGCTTCTGTGAAGAAGGAGTCGTGGAAGAAGAGGCCTCTGTGAGATATTGGTAACAGGAAGTCTGACGTTTGGTCTGGCGAGGATCTTCCTGAAGTGGAGGTGTTGGTCGGCGTCTGGTTGCTTGTTGAAGTGGTAGCATTCGTGTCAGCATTAAACTGAACAGACTTTTTAGGTTTATATTCCTTTTTTTCAATTGGTTTCGACTCCTTGGACAATTCAGAATTGGCACCATGATGCGGACTGCTAGTGAAATTATTGACTTTCGCTCTTTTTGTTTCTGTGGATCGGGTGGAGTCGACAGTGTTGTTGATCTTACTGACGTTAACCTCTTGCATACGTGTAAGGGATTCCTGCATAAAAAGAGACATTCATAAAAAACTACTGTTATACACAGTCAATTAATTGGAATTAATTTATAATATATATCTAGTATTTATTGTAAAAAAAGAATGACTGTCTCCAAGAATACTGATAATCACTATCACTACATTATATGCCAGAATAGAACGCAGTACAAACCTTCTTGGGCACAGTGACTGTGAGGACACCGTCGGAGGACATGGTGGAGGTCACGGCCTCTGGCCTCACCAGACCAGGGAAGGAGAACAGCCTTCGGAAACTCTTCTTGGAGACGGAGCCTTCCTTCCGCTGCTCAACGCTGCCCTCCACCACCAACTCATTCTCATCAACCATCTTCACCTTCACGTCTCCACTCAGGAAGTCTCGCACGTCAAGCACCACCTGCAGATAAAAGAACAAATTTTTAGTATTTAAAATCATTAAACTGTAAACACACAGAAATCACAATAGCGTGATGCATCAATGATCCAAGTAAGGGCAGTAGAACTTCTGGTTGCAACTCTTTGACCATGTCGTAGCTTAAGGCAGCGTCTGGCATGATCTCGGACGTAGGTTCGAATCCTCGTCTCGGCCCTTGTAGATTTGTTTAAACTGTAAATATTACATCAAAAAATTTGCACTAGTTTCTCCATAAACACGCGTACTACACAGATAAAATCAAGCTCCTATAGAAATATACTTCAAAGTATGTGACAAACTCTCTTAAGCCAGTAACTTCCTGCAACAACCATACCTTGTGTGACTGATGGTTCTCGGTGACGGAAACTGCCTGGTTCTCCTCCTTCAGGTCACGTTCTCGCAGACGTCTGTAACTGGTCATGTGGTCGCTCGCAGGAGCTTCTTCCCAGGAGTCCACAATCCTCTTTACCGCCGCCTCAAAGTCCTGGCGAGCTTCTGTGAAGAAGGAGTCGTGGAAGAAGAGGCCTCTGTGAGATATTGGTAACAGGAAGTCTGACGTTTGGTCTGGCGAGGATCTTCCTGTAGCGGAGGTGTTGGTCGGCGTCTGGCTGTTTGTGGATATTTTGGTGGCTTCGCTATTATTATTAAATAGTTTTGAGTTATTACTTTTGTGTTCTTTAAGTTGTGTCGTCCTCGTCGATTCACTGCTCATTTTCTTATGTAGATGATTGACGGATTTATTTAAGTGTTGTTCCTGAGTTCCATTAACTGTGGAGGAGTTGGCTGTTCTGTCTGTCCTGTTGACGTCAACTTGTGTTGTGTGTGGCAGATGTTCCTGTAGAAACAAGAATAATTGAGAACTAAATTCATTATAAAGTTTAATTTACTTTTGCATTTTTAATAGTTCATGAAATCCCAGCAATGATCTGTACTTCAATAATATATGGTCTACCAAGTTGCAGTTGGTCTACCTAGCGTCAATTCAATAGAAAACGTTAAGGTAATACGACCAACCGTTGAAACCTAGAAACCCCAACAAATCTTTTCTAGACATGGATAAAACATGAGGCAATTACTAGGAGCAAGTGCTAAGTCAGATGAATATATAGACCTAAATAAAAACCCTGACTAACAATGAACAAATTACTACATTCATATTCTTTCGAAACTCATGGTGTCATGCTGTTGGAGTTATGGAAAGTGGAATGATTTGTTTCGTGGGTTTAAAGAGAATATACGAATTTGTTCAGAGTAAGGCAAAACTCTCTTCAAAATTATATCTAGATAAGTTAGTCTGGGAATTCTATCTTCAACTGGAACCTAGCATACGGCTAAAGGGCACTGCCTTCATCCTTTAGATACTCGCTCTAAAAATAGAGAATATAGAAAGAGTATGAAAGGGCCTGTGGATATTTGTTAGAACTCATACTATAGAAACACCCACTAATATGTCATTATATTGACTTTGATACAAACCTTCTTGGGCACAGTGACTGTGAGGACACCGTCGGAGGACATGGTGGAGGTCACGGCCTCTGGCCTCACCAGACCAGGGAAGGAGAACAGCCGCCGGAAACTCTTCTTGGAGACGGAGCCTTCCTTCCGCTGCTCCACGCTGCCCTCCACCACCAACTCATTCTCATCAATCATCTTCACCTTCACGTCTCCACTCAGGAAGTCTCGCACGTCAAGCACCACCTGCAGGTGTAAAGCAAACAATAATCATCAATGTTATATGATGGAACAGATCTCTCACTCTGTCACTGTTGGATAGACGGTATGAATGCGGGTTAGCATCGTCAAGGCACTTCAATCGCTTGTGGTTAGGTGTTCAATAGCTCACTATTTGATGTCGAACAGATCTCTAACCCAGTTCATGGAGGACAGAAGAAACGGCACATATGCTTGTTATCAATGAATAAATGAATAAATTTACCACATCTGTGGTAAAAAAAATCATATTAAATAATGATTGTTGTACATTATTCCATATGACATTATTTGTAATCATTTAAATTGACGTCGGAATATATAATACTGCAAAACCTGTAGACTTAGTTAACGAAAAAATGATTTACACGTTATAGTTACCTGATGGTGTTTGTCGTCTTCGGTGACGCTAACAGCCTGGCTGGCCTCTGTGAGGTTTGACTGGCGAAGTCTTCTGTAGGACGTGAGGTCATCGTCTAGAGCCGACCTTTGACCCAAGCGGTCGAGTACATCTCTGACGGCGGTGTCGAAGTGTTGACGCGCCTCGCTGAAGAATGTATCGTCGTAGAAGTGTCCCCGGCAGGTAATGGGTAACAGCAAGGCTTCCCGGACACCTGCTGACTCTGGCTGGGACACGCCAGGCTGGGACACGCCAAGCTCGCGCTGTCTTCTGCCGCTGGTGATGTGACTGTGCATGTCGCTAGGCTTGCCGCTGTGTACCCGGGTGGAGGTGCTCTCGACGGTGTCGTGACACGAGGATGTGTTGGTCTGCTGGATCGGAGCCATTACTCTTATTTCTCCTTCAGTATAAACCACTTGTATAATAATCCTCAGTTATATCACTATAAATGATACCAAAAGTATATCGATGGTCGAGTCCCTGAGGTCCTTCTGGCCTTGATGGTGAGAGAGTTGTGAATGTGGGCACCTGCCCGCCCGGGCTTTTATGTTGCTCGAACTGGCGGCCCGCCCAGCCGCCCGCCCTCTACCCTTCCCCCCACGCCCAGCCGCCCGCCCTCTACCCTTCCCCCCCACGACCAGCCTCGCCATCATTACGTCACTGAGGTCCACGACCATTGAGAACCTTCTGGACTGATATAATAATTTATACGACCAAATCTTTCGTGCTAAATTCTTGACCGATACGCGCACTTCTGTAACTTGAGTCATGCATGAATGTCTCGGCGACATTCATGTCGCCGAGACATGACTCGGCTACATTATATATATATATATATATATATATATATATATATATATATATATATATATATATATATATATACATATATATATGTGTGTGTGTGTGTGTGTGTGTGTGTGTGTGTGTGTGTGTGTGTGTACTCACCTAATTGTGCTTGCGGGGGTTGAGCTCTGGCTCTTTGGTGTGTGTGTGTGTGTGTGTGTGTGTGTGTGTGTGTGTGTGTGTGTGTGTGTGTGTGTGTGTGTGTGTGTGTGTGTGTGTGTGTAAATCACGAAAATAAACACGTGATTAAAAATGTGAAAGTGTCAGACCACGGAGGAAAATTGAAACAGGAATTTCCTTAAGTACTTTCGTATATTAATACATCTTCAGAAGGAAGATGTATTAATATTCGTCCTTCTGACGATGTATTAATATACGAAAGTACTTAAGGAAATTCCTGTTTCAATTTTCCTCCGTGGTCTGACACTGTCATATATATATATATTATATATATATATATATATATATATATATATATATATATTTGTGTGTGTTTACTTGTCTATTATTGCCTGCAGGATCGAGATCTAGTTCTTGGACCCCGTTTGTCTAGCTGCCGGATGTCTAAGGCGATGACTCCTGGCCTAGTTCCCTGTCATACCTATTTTTTAAAGTTATGAGTGACGCTTCCTTCCACGAACTGCTCCTTTAGTTCATTCCATCTTCCCCATTACTCTTACGTTAAAAGAAGAAGAATTTCTAACATCTATAAGACTCATCTGAGTCTCAAGCTTCCATTCGTGCCCTCGTATTTTATTGGTATTTATTTTTATAGATTTCTTTTACCTTTTTGTCAATACCCGTAATTATTTAATACGTCTCAATCAAGTCTCTCTTTCTCTCTCTCCTTTTTAGCGTCGCCGGGTTACTTTCTTCGTATCTCATCCCTCGTAACTCTGGGACGAGTCCCGTTATAAACTTCAATAACTTTTCGAGCTTCTTTGTGAGTTTTTTTAAGATGGGGCTTCACGATGGGGCGGCGTACTCTAAAACTAGTCCGCTTATGTGGTACACACTGTGTACCAAATAAGCGGTACACAGTGATCTAGAAGCATCCTTCTTAAGGTTATCTTGAGATGATTTCGGGGCTTTAGTGTCCCCGCGGCCCGGTCCTCGACCAGGCCTCCACCCCCAGGAAGCAGCCCGTGACAGCTGACTAACACCCAGGTACCTATTTTACTGCTAGGTAACAGGGGCATAGGGTGAAAGAAACTCTGCCCATTGTTTCTCGCCGGCGCCTGGGATCGAACCCAGGACCACTGGATTACAAGTCCAATGTGCTGTCCGCTCGGCCGACCGGCCTCCTTACTTATGTTCCAGGAGGATATTCTGACTTTTGCTAGCGTACAGTATGCAGCTGAAGGTATTCTATTTATATGAGCCTCTGGAGTTAGGTTTTGGTGTTATGTCCACTCATAGATCTTTTTTAGTCGTTATAGGGAGGTAGTTTCCCTTCATCGTTTACTGGCTTTTCAGTCGCTTGTCTCCTGCTCCTATTTCCATCACCTTGCACCTGTTGGTGTTTAGCTCAAGCAGCCATTTCTCGGACCAACTCTACAATTTGTTAAAGTAATCTTGGGAAATCTTACAATCACCATCTGTTACAACACTTATCAGTTTTGCATCGTCAGTAAACATCGACTTATAAGACTCCTGTTGACAGGTCACTTACAGAAATGAGAAATAGTATGGGGACCCCCATCAATCCGTGTATGTACTCACCTAGTTGTACTCATCTAGTTGTGCTTGCGGGGGTTGAGCTCTGACTCTTTGGTCCCGCCTCTCAACTGTCAATCAACTGGTGTACATATTCCTGAGCCTACTGGGCTCTATCATATCTACATTTGAAACTGTGAATGGAGTCAGCCTCCACCACATCACTGCCTAATGCATTCCATCTGTTAACTACTCTGACCCTGAAAAAGTTCTTTCTAACGTCACTGTAGCTCATTTGGGTACTCAGTTTCCACCTGTGTCCCCTTGTTCGCGTACCACCCGTGCTAAACAGTTTATCTTTATTTACCCTGTCAATTCATCTGAGAATTGTATCGGTAATGATCATGTCTTCCCTAACTTTTCTGTCTTCCGGTGTCGTGAGGCTTAGTTCTAGCAATCTTTCCTTGTAGTTCATACCTCTCATCTCGGGGACTAGCCTGGTGGCATACCTCTGAACCTTTCTAACTTCGTTTTGTGTTTGACTAGATGTGGACTCCAGGCTGGAGCCGCATATTCCAGTATTGGTCTGACATATGAGGTATACAAGGTTCCGAATGATTTCTTTCGCACGTTTCTGAAGGCAGTTCTTATGTTTGCCAGCCTCGCATACTGTTATCCTTTTGATATGTGCTTCAGGAAACAGGTCTGGTGTGATATCAACCCCGATATTTCTCTCTTCCTGATTCCTGAAGGATTTCCTCTCCTCTCTTGTTCCTTGTGTTTGACCTCTTGCTCCCTATGCCTATCTTCATCATTTTGCACTTGCTTGAGTTAAACTCTTGTAGCCATTTGTTGGACCATTCCTTCAGTCTGTCCATGTCATCCTGTAGCCTCTTTCAGTCCTCCTCTGTCTTAATTCTTCGCATAAATTTAGCATCATCAGCAAACATTGAGAGGAATGAGTCGATACCTTCTGGAAGATCATTCACGTATATCAGAAACAAAACAGGGCCGATTACAGAACCCTGTAGGACTCCCGAGGTGACATCACGCCATTCTGAGGTCACACCCCTCACAGTAACTCTCTGTTTCCTGTTGTTAAGGTACTCTCTTATCCATCGGAGCATCTTACAACTTACTCCAGCTTGTTTCTCCTGCTTATGCAACAGCCTCTTATGGTGTACTGTGTCAAACGCTTTGACACAGTACAACTGGTGTAAACAAATCAACTGGTGTACAGATTCCTGAGTCTACTGGGCTCTATCATATCTACACTTGAAACTGTGTATGGAGTCAGCCTCCACCACATCACTGCCTAATGCATTCCATTTGCTAACTACTCAGGCACTGAAAAAGTTATTTCTAATGTGCAGGCGATGAGTCACAGTAACGTGGCTGAAGTATGTTGACCAATCCACACACTAGAAGATGAAGGGACGACGACGTTTCGGTCCATCCTGGACCATTCTCAAGTCGATCCGATCAACCATCGACTTGAGAATGGTCCAGGACGGACCGAAACGTCGTCGTCCCTTCATCTTCTAGTGTGTGGATTGGTCAACTTATTGCTAATGTTTCTGTGGCTCATTTGGGTACTCAGCTTGCACCTGTGTCCCTGTGTCCCTTGCACCTGTGTCCTTGCACACACACATACGTGTGTGTATGTGTGTGTGTGTGTGTGTGTGTGTGTGTGCGTTCAAGTTCAAGTTCAAGTATGTTTATTGAAACTGGAAAAATACATCTCAAAGTGACAGAGTAACTTAGGTTACTTACTTAACAAAGTAACTTAGGCTATTTCTACTTCTCCCTATGTGTGTGTATGTATGTATGTTTAGGGGGGGGGGTTGCCAATGTGTACGCATTAACGCAGATTCATATCAACATCAAGCGTCCTCTACCTGCATTCCTAGTGACGTCACGTCACCACCCCGCTGCCAGACGCTGGTCACTCCCGATAGCAAATTCTTATAGCCAGCCACCGTGAGCTATTATCTACCAGTAGACTCAACCATATCCACACGATGTGACGAGGAACTATATGCCAGAATGATCGAGGTTGAAGGGGAATGACAATACTGGCTTGTTTGGTGAGTGAGGGGGGCTTGGGTGGGCGGGAATGTGAGTCACTGACGCGGCCAGATGAGCCATATATGGCGTCGGGCCCCAGCCTTGAGGTTGTGTAATGTACGGTGTGGTCTAAGACAGGTTCTGATGGCGCCTTATGGTAATACATATGTGCTGATCTGAATCACCAATCATGCGTACGCGTATGGATGTATACATGTGGGTATATCTGTATGTATGTACGGATATGCTGTCATCAGGTGTGCTTGTAGGGTGGAACTTCCGCTCTATAACTACATCTTGTTTACATATTGTAGCGTAATACAATAGTTTCTAATTTGTATTCTGGATATTCATAATTGTGTAGTTGGCAGATTTCAACCATTTTTTGTCTAGCAAATTACACTGATTTATATAATGTTAAAACTTTAGAAGTTCATCCTGACATTTAAGTGATTCATCTCGTACTTGAAATAAGCGCTCGCGTTGTGGTGTTCCAAGCTTGGGACAGTTCTTATGTTCATATTTTGTCCAGTTACCTTAAAATCTTGTATGTCGTTATCATCTCCGCTTTCGGTGTGGTGCGGTCCGGTTTCCTCAGTTTTTCCTTGCAGCTTAGTCCCTTCATCTTAAGAACGAACCTTGTTGCATATTTTTCGACATTTTCTCGTTTTTTGGTGCTTTATTCAGGGGATTCCATGCTGGTGCTGCTTACTTAAGAGCGGATCTTATATTAGTTGTATCTAAAACCTTGAAGACTCTATTTCCACGAGTCCTCGTGTTCCTGTAACTTCGAGACGAAAATTATGACCTAGTTTTCTGTTCTCCTGAGTATTTAGTATGTCGTGATCATGTCTTCCCCTTCGGTATTTCGTGTTCTGTACCCCTATGAGCTGGTCTGTTTTCTCCATTTTATTTAACCCCTTGTTGAAGTCTACTTTGATGAAGAGTCGAGATGCATTTCTATTCGAAACTGCAGCAGCTCTTTCTATGAAAGTTAAAAGGTATGAATTTTTTTTCTAATGCTCATGTTAGGGTTTTATTTATGTTGGGTTATATATGACCTTGAGGTGCTTCCGGGGCTTAGTGTCCCCGCGGCCCGGTCGTCGACCAGGCCTCCTGCTATATATACTGGCCCGAGGGAACACTGCGTGTGTTATGATGTCAGTTTTGTTTATGTTAATGCTAATGAATCTATTTCTTTATGCAGGCGATGAGTCACAATAATGTGGCTAAAGTAAGTTGACCATTCTCAAGTCGATTCAAGTCGAATCGACTTGAGAATGGTCCAGGACGGACCGAAACGTCGTCGTTCCTTCACCTTCTAGTGTGTGTGTGTGTGGTCTGGTCAACCTCTATTTCTTTAGTCCTGTTAAGTTGATCATGTCTATAATTTGCCCGAAACGAAGCCCGAAAATTTGTTATTTTGCCCGACACGCTATGCGTGCTAGTGGCTTTACAAGAATGTTAATTCAACTCATTTTCTATATTCCCTGTTAACCCCCAATGTAACTTCTTGTATATAAATAAATAAATAAAGAAGAAAATAAATAAATCTATTTCTAAAAATAAATAGATTTTTAATAAATCTATTTAAATCTAGAAGAAAATAAATCCCATCTATGAGAACGTAATTTTAAAGCTCGCTTCCTTCTATGTCTCCTCATATCCAAGTTCCCTCATACCTGATCACTTATGTGCGAAAGGTCGCTCATTGTAGGGTGGATTTTAGGGTGAATGGAAGAGTATGATAAGGGGTGTTGATAAGGGTCTGGCGGGCAGTGGCAAGGGGAGATTGAAATATAAATGGGGGATGAAGGGGGCCATAATGGGAGGTTAGGAGATGAATTGGAATATAGAGAGAAGAGGGGCTTGGGTGGTGTTTTACGGGCTATTCATGCCCGTGCCACCTCTTGGGTGGCTTAATCTTTATCAATCAGTCAATCGGGTGGTGTTGATATTTTGGGCCAGAGGCTGTGGAGAGTATGGGTGGGTGGGAGATTGGTGTGGGAAGTGGAGAAGGAAGGGCGGTGAAAAGCACGAGAGAGGTGCGTGTTGCAGAGGTGGGAAAGTTGAATGATTTACGCTACTGTTGTGGTTGGCCCCGTGGGCGTCAGTAAGGTGGAAGAGTGTGTCGAGTCTCCGCTCCTATTTCCTTTGTCTCTCTCTCCCTCTCTCTCTCTCGTCTCTGCAACTGCTGCTCATTGTTCCTCTCTTATATCCATATCAAGATAAATTACATATTTCTGCTTTATTACATGTTGAAGTCTTTTTTTTTTGTCTTAGGAACCTCTATTTTTTTTGGCGATATAACCACCACCAATCATCATCATCAGCCTGTTTCTTTCCTTCCTGTTCCGTACGAGTTGTAAGCTTTCTCTATCCTGCCTGTGTTCTCTATCCTGCCTGTGTTCTCTATCCTGCCTGTGTTATAAATATATTTGCAAGTTTGATCCCATGATGGTTTTCTTATCGCAGCTCCTGGCGTGTCCTCACATCCCTCACAAGGGCTATATAGTCACACTAAGTTAGCGGTTTATCTTACCTTGAAAATGAATAATGAATTTCATGCTTCAATTCGCAATCTGAGACAAATGTGTTGCCTATGAACTCTGTGTTCTCCGAACAATTAAGAGTAATTAATAATGCATATTAACGAGCACTAGGCAGTATATAAATTCAATGAATAATCGAAGCATTTACGAAAATGAATACTACCCAGAAGGTAGTGATGCTTTGATAATGCTGCTGGAAATACAGCCGAGGGAGAGGGATGGTGAAGGCTTTCGTGCTGTTCAATAACAGCTCATAATGCCAGTTATAATATGAAATAATAACTTATATATATACATTCCATCATCAGTGATGACCTCCTCCCAATCCCAGCAAATCAAACATTTCCTAAAATGGAAGCCTAACCCACATTCTCGACTTTCTGTCCAAATATTACCGCGCGACGCTGTGATTAGAAGCTGTTTCTGGGTATTTTCGTCTATTTATGCTACGAAACATCATGTATTACGAGAGCAGAAGTAAGAGGAAAGCATTTCATTCTGCGACTAACTGTCAGGGGAAGACTTCAGGGTTATGAGTGGCGACCAATGTAGAGCGATGAGGCAAAGTGACGTCAAGGTGACGTCAGTGGGCGCAGGCGCGTGGAGGCCGCCGGACCGGGACACCCACAGCATAAAAGGCGGCGACGGCGGCCTGCGACGCACACAACCCTCTCAGCTCCACAGCCGCAGGCTACACGCCCGTCGCCTGACCCCCCTACGCACGAGTGACAGTGATAACATTAGTGCGGGTAGAATTTAGAGTGAAATTGAAAGATATTTAAAAATGGGCGTGATGGCCCCGACACAGCAGCACGACGTGCCGGCCGTGGTGGAGGACGGGCTCATGTGGAACACATACAGGCAGCCGGGCGCCTCGGGCATCAACCAGGAAGTTACTCTCTTCGAAGATGACAATTGTCACCAGGTTAGAGATGCGTCTATCTTATCAATTCGCATCGGTAATTTGCAGATGCTATTTACTATGTGAACTAGGAAACTAAAACCCCGACCGATATTAGTATCGTCAGTGATCAATCAAATGGGCTTGACAGTTCAGCTTTACTAGTCTAATCAGAGGAGGAGGAGGCAGATGTGTCACTGAACGCCCCCGACCATTTTCTATGAATGATTCCGGAAAGCCAGACAGAGAGAGAGAGAGAGAGAGAGAAACAGAGAATTGTTGCATCATTCTGCCATGGTTGTTGCAAGTGGTGGCTTGTTGGTCTATCTGTAAGTCAATCTACAAAGAGTTTCCCTCCATTGTAGAACTGTTCAGATGTATGTACTGGTGTATTCATAATATTTTCTTGTAACTAGTGGTTTATATAAATGCATGGTGAACTGAAGTGTCCTGCCCCACTATTTAAGTGTTGGCCAATAGATGGCATCACACGGAATTGTTTAAAAATATCTTTAGCGCGTGGCGAGGCGGGGGGGGGGGGGGGAAGGGAGGTATACATAGAGGTGTATCCCACTCCTCGATGTATACACACTGAGTTTCATTTAGCCCTGGACAATGTTTCTGACCAAAGTATACTTGGTGGCTGGTTAGTAAACTATTGTGACGAGCCTAATGCTCGGCCCGCTGTTGAAAGGACTTATAAACCCAATGAGAATGCAATACCAACATTGGTATACCTTACTTTGTATACTTCTAATATATTGGTATATCTCACTTTGGCATTGCAATACCTCACAAACCCAATGTACCTTATATATATATAAATAATATATATAAATATATATATATATATATATATATATATATATATATATATATATATATATATATATATATATGTCGTACCTAGTAGCCAGAACGCACTTCTCAGCCTACTATGCAAGGCCCGATTTGCCTAATAAGACAAGTTTTCATGAATTAATATATTTTCTATAATTTTTTTCTTATGAAATGATAACGCTGCCCTTTTAACTATGTATGAGGTCAATTTTTTTTATTGGAGTTAAAATTAACGTAGATATATGACCGAACCTAACCAACCCTACCTAACCTAACCTAACCTATCTTTATAGGTAAGGTTAGGTTAGGTAGCCAAAAAAAGCTAGGTTAGGTTAGGTTAGGTAGGTTAGGTAGACGAAAAAACATTAATTCATGAAAACTTGTCTTATTAGGCAAATCGGGCTTTGCATAGTAGGCTGAGAAGTGCGTTCTGGCTACTAGGTACGACATATATATATATATATATATATATATATATATATATATATATATATATATATATATATATATATATATATAAATCCTTTTATTAGATTACTCTAAAGCAAATATTGTCACTAATGTTTCTATACTTTCAAAGTATCATTGATTTATATATGTTGATTTGTTTGTTTTGACGTACGTACATGTGTAAGTAAAAACTTTCACACGGCATTAGTCTGTCTTATACGTTTGGGAAACGCTAGTAGCCAAAGAGTTGGGGGGGGGGGTGGAGGTACGGAAGGGGATGGTTAGGAAACGGGAAGAAGATACTGAAAAAACGGAAATTTAGGGTGACGTTTGGGTGACCGAGGGGAAGGTAATGTCCAGCGCCCTGTCGCGTCACTAATGTTATTGTTGTTAATACACCGTCGAGGGAGGCTGCACAAGGCTGCCGGCACCTTTGGCAAGACTACGCAACAACCGTGATTGATTGACTGATTGACGAAGATTAAGCCACCCAAAAGGTGGCACGGGCATGAATAACCCGTAAGTGGTGGCCCTTTGGAGCTATTACCAGTATCAATAGATGCTACTGGAAATCTGTGGAGGTGCGACTGCACCCTGCGTGACGGGAGATGTCTCCCGTGAACAGCTTGCTTAACGCGATGGAATCTGTATACTTGCTGTCAGGTGAACAGAAGAGTCAGGTGAAAGGAAGCATTGCTGACCATTTCTGTTCCGCCCGGGGATCGAACCCGGGATCCTTGCTTGTGTGTCGAGAACGTAGACCACTGCACTTTGTATACTAATGTCTTGTATGTCATATCCAGCTGACGAAAATAAAATTAATCCGGACACTCGTTCTTATCTGATAATAATGATAATTTCGTTAATCTGGACACGTTTTTATAAGATAATATCGCTAATTTCGGTAATCGGTCATCAAGATTGTAACTTGCTTAGCTAAATGAATTGTGGGGTTCAGTCCCTGAGCCCATTATGTGCCTCTGTAACCCTTTCCACCACCGCCCACAAGATGGGTATGGGGTGCATAATAAATGAATTAAACTAAACTTGGTCCGCCGGTTATACAGTGATTAATTCGGTGATTGGCTTGTTTGTTTTGTTACTTAATTGTCTTGTAATACACTTGGCTGCGTTCTCGACCTACAATCGGGGATCTCGGGTTCAATTTCCGAGCGGGACCGGAATGGTTGGACACGTTTCCTTTCAACTAATGCCTTTGTTCACCCAAGAGGTAAATAGGTATACCCGGGAGTTAGGCAACTGTTGAGGGGTTGCATCCTTGGGAGGGTCAGTAGTTCATCCTTGGGGGGAGACCGCGATATAAGCCTAAAGTGTGTATCTGCACAGGCTTCCTGTCCCTCGACAACGGGAATTATCATTATAATGACCTAACCTTCACCTCTCACATTCCTTTGCTAAACACAGTTGGGTTACAACCGCATGGTTCCGGGTTAGATTCTCGTGGTGGGAGAGAAATAGAAACGGTATCGTTTCTATGTCTCTCCTGCTTACTAAAGTTTCCTTTCACCTCTTGTCTATGTTTATCTAGTAGTAACGTAGATAGGTACCGGGAGTTAGACATCCTAGAATAGGTCATCAGTACTGTTCACATGGGTGGAGAGGACCTCGATAAACCTAACAGGCTTCCTGTGCATCTGCACTTGGTCTTTCTTTACCATAATACCTTCTTGGCTACACTGAATTGCAAATCAATTAAATACCGATAGTGATAGTTTGTATTTAAATATGAGGTAGTTACACCTTGATTTGTCATTTTCTTTTGATTCCTTGTAGTATTCAGAGAAAACAAAATCAATATGGGTAACTAAGGAAAAATTCCAATAATGGTCTTACATTTGATATTTTCAATAAATAATTTTGGGGGCGATAGGGCCTTATGCTAAAATTCCTTTAAACTTATGTAAACCATCTTGTAAGAGTTATTGGAATAAATAAAATAATTAAATTATATTTACATCAGAAATATGCACTTAAATTATTTAATTCATGTTATTTCTACAATATTTAGGTAATGATGAACGTTCGTGACTTCATGAGCAGTGGAGTGAAAGTGGACGTGGTTGACGGAAATGAATTGTTGGTGGAAGGCAGCCGATGTGTAGAAAAGCGAGGACAGGACGGCAGCAGTGAGGAGGAGGAGGAGCAGGATCAAAACAGCAGCAGTACGGAGGGGCGACAGGAAGAGTACAGCTTCCGACGACGAATCTCTTTCCCGGGTCTCGCTAGGATAGACACCATGACGTCCACCATGTCCACTGACGGCATCCTCGTGGTTACTTTGCCCAAGAAAAAGGTTTGTGTTGCCATCTTTGTTAGAATGCTTTAGGTTTAAGTTTCATAACAGATATTTGTCAATATTTAGAAATCCTAAAAGGGAAGGTTGTTAAAAATAGAAAAAATCTAGTATCAAGTAATAATAAAACCGATTAAGACTTCGTGCTTCGGGTAAACACAATCAAACAACTATTAGAGTTGCCTCTCAAACAATTGTTTATAACCTAACTCTTCGTTCAATACTTTTCTGAGAGTTTTCAATCTTCAATAAAGGAGAAGCGAGTGGAAACGTAGCTGTTAAACTTTTTTGTAAAATTATTCGTGTGTTTTCCCCAGAAGTGTGAGAGGCGAGACCTCCAGGAGGTCACCATGCCAGAGCTCGACCTCGAGGAGGTCACCATGCCAGAGCTCGACCTTGAGGAGGTCACCATGCCGGAGTTCGACCTCGAAGAGGTCACCATGCCAGAGCTCGACCTCCAGGTAGGCCAATAACGGAATTACCATTTAAGTTTTCATTCAAATATCTTGTTGAATATTTTGATGGAATATATTCATATTATTATATGTTACTAAATAATTATTTATTTGCTTTAGGTGGATAGCTTCCTTCAAGGCAGCAGGTGACATCGAAGTAGTGATTGAGAGCTCCAGCTGGAGATTATGTCGTTACTGGAATCTTGCTGATGTGCGGTAAGCTTGGTTGCTAACACCTCCACGATATTGTCGGACAGCGGTGGTGTCCCCGCTACCCTGGCTCCCAGAGAGTGGGCAGCATAGGGACGCTGCCCCCAGGAGGAGAGGACGTCCTGTCATCAGAACCCGAGGATGGTACCCTGGAAGAGGATATCACCTACGAAAAGACTGAGGAATGTGAATGCTGCACTTGTCGCAGGCTGCACCTGTCGCAGGCTACACCTGTCGCAGGCTGCACCTGTCGCAGGCTGCACCTGTCGCAGGCTGCACCTGTCGCAGGCTGCACCTGTCGCAGGCTGCACCTGTCGCAGGCTACACCTGTCGCAGGCTGCACCTGTCGCAGGCTACACCTGTCGCAGGCTGCACCTGTCGCAGGCTACACCTGTCGCAGGCTGCACCTGTCGCAGGCTACACCTGTCGCAGGCTACACCTGTCGCAGGCTACACCTGTCGCAGGCTGCACCTGTCGCAGCCTGCACCTGTCGTTTGATCTGAAGCTTAAACACTTCCTAGAGGGTTGTAACAGAACCCATGGGCACCTCACTAGAAACAAATATCTACTAGATATTCCATGAGTGCGATTTACCGAAAGCAGAAATACGCTGCAAATCAACGGTCTCAAAATGTTGATTAACGAGCCTAATCACATCAAAGACTGTCTTTCTCTCAGCCAGTTTAAAAAGAGAAACTATGGACTACCTAATAAACTCTACGTAACCTACGTTCCTAAATGTTTACCTGTGTTTTGCCGTTATTGAACATTAATTATTGAACTTGTACTGCTGCTGCTGTTGTCTGCCGTGTTCAACATCTTAATACAAAAAATTTTGTTCTTGTATTTATTCTGAAAAATTACTATCTGTTGCTTTGTTATAGTGTTGATGTTCCATCCGTCGTGTTAATAATTGTAATTTTATTTCTCAACTTCATTATTGTTTTCTGATCTCATTTATTTGTAAGACTTTTAAGTTTTTTTCCTTACATTATGCCCAAGACGCTCTGCGTATTAGTGGCTTAATTAAGGCTTCTTTCTTACGAATCCAACAATGTGTTTATATCCTATATATGCGAACAAGCCTGAATGGTCCCCAGGACAATATGCAACTGAAAACTCACACCCCAGAAGTGACTCGAACCCATACTCCCAGAAGCAACGCAACTGGTATGTACAAGACGCCTTAATCCACTTGTCAAAATGTCCGGTCGTGATGGTCAAGTGGATTAAGGCGTCTTGTACATACCAGTTGCGTTGCTTCTGGGAGTATGGGTTCGAATCCTATATATGTATATGTGTACTTTTGCCTAAATAAAATGTTTGTTTTTCTTTTGTGTGTAAACTCACATATGTGTAAATTGATCGTTTAAAAAAAAAAGATCTAGATGACTGTCCCTAGAGCAAGGAATGTCATATCTACCTCCGACTTGTCTGATAAAGTTAGTGGAAGTAATGTATGTAAACTCAAGCCACGATTTGACAATATTATTGATTAAATAACACTGGCTGCAATAGATGTAATGATGTTCTCTGCTTACGAGTTAAACAAATGGAATCTGAGGTTATTATGGGAATCAAAAAATCTTTCCACCTCTATGACGTTGATAATGTATATTTTAAGACTCAAACTCTGCAACTTTATTCGATATTGTATTAATGAGAATTTAACGTTTTCTGCATAGAAATAATAATGTGGTACATAGTTTGGATATTTTTATTCTTCCTACTCTGGAATATGTCATACAAGCCAGAGATATCCATCCACACAGGGACGTCTATCATACAATCCAGAGATATCCGTCTTCGCTGGGACGTCTTGCATAAAAGCCAGAGATATCCATCCACACTGGGACGTATGTTATACAGAGCTGAGATGTCCAGCGCCCCTCAGGAATATCCGACACTCAAAGTCAAGACAAAGAGACAGGCCGGCGTGCCTAACTACAGTCAAAACTGCAAGAAAACACGACAGTAACTCAAAGTATCAATTTACAATCCTGGATGTTTTTTAACAGTTAAATAAGACACGTAAACAAAAATATTATGATTAGTTAACAACAGGATCTGCTGTGTTTAAGTCAGTCAGGAATTTGGTATCTTCAAAGAATTCGGCAATTATAATCCTCTTCCTGAACAGAAGTCTGCATGATAGACAGGGTTATCTTGAGGTTATCTTGAGATGATTTCGGGGCTTAAGTGTCCCCGCGGCCCGGTCCTCGATCAGGCCTCCACCCCCCAGGCAGCAGCCCCTGGCAGCTGACTAACACCCAGGTACCTATTTTACTGCTAGGTAACAGGGGCATAGGGTGAAAGAAACTCTGCCCATTGTTTCTCGCCGGCGCCCGGGATCGAACCCGGGACCACAAGATCACAAGTCCAGCGTGCTGTCCGCTCGGCCAACCGGCTTCCTTTTGGGCCGACCGACTTGGGCTAAAACATAACACAAATATCTCCTCTGTGTGGCGATCAGAATTATACAAGAATGAGGTAGTTTTTGACATGTAAACTTTAGTAATACTTGTCATTTAGTCTTGCAAGATGCTGTGGTGTGGCAATTGCAATCCTTGCCACGCCTCTCCGTTGTCTTGCAAGGTGCAATGATGGTGTTGACTATTGCAATCCCTCTCAAATATATAATGATGTCACAGTACTCGCCATAACTTGAACATATATATTTGGAGTACAACCTCTATTATATTTAGGAAGAGATTAATAGGTGCTCAAGGGATCTTTATACTCCTTAGCTGAACAATCATTTTTATACTATTTCAGTTATATTTTATATAGTAATTTAGTAAGTAAGTGACATACATTAACCAATATTAATGAAACTTAAAAAAATTGGTAATCTGGAACTCTGTGCCGAGAGACATAATTCATCAAGCATAACGGCTTGATGAATTTCACCCATTTACGAAACCTATTCATCATTCATTCAACATCATTCAACATTCTAGCGCCTATGTTTGTGTACGGCGCGACCTGAAAAGCTGGAACAGGAAACTTGTAATCTCATGATCAATAAAAAGATTCATTGAGCCTCTTTAAAATCCGTTTGGATCTCGTCTCAGCCGATAATAAGGGGACCTACGGATTCTATGGAGTTTATAGTTCAGCGTGTCTGCTTCCCTATGGCTGGCCGCAACACCCCTATTAACCATAGGAAAGATAGGTTAAAACCAGGGCAAATACACGTGTATAAACCCATAACAACTGTCGGCTCTTCTTTCAAGGATGTAATGTAATGTCGTCTGGGAGAAATACCAGAATTAGGTTACTTGAGACCAGAGGTTCTTTCTCTCTCTCTCTCCGCTGGGTGCCAAGCTTGAAGGGTCACCGGCTATACGAAGCTGGGTCATGGGGTCACCGGCTATACGAAGTTGGGTCAAGGGGTCACCGGCTATACGAAGCTGGGTCAAGGGGTCACCGGCTATACGAAGCTGGGTCATGGGGTCACCAGCTATACGAAGCTGGGTCAAGGGGTCACCAGCTATACGAAGCTGGGTCAAGGGGTCACCAGCTATACGAAGCTAGGTCAAGGGGTCACCAGCTATACGAAGCTGGGTCAAGGGGGTCACCAGCTATACGAAGCTGGGTCATGGGGTCACCAGCTTTATCGTGTTTTGCATGTCAGCCGCGAGAAACACGCAGTTAGTCCAGTAAAATCAATAATATACATTCTGGGTAATCGATTCTTTCAGCTTATAAATAAATTAAAGTTGAAATACAAATTTTGTAAGAGTTCACTGGCAAATGCGTTTCCAAACAAAGTATTTAATGGGAATTTGAGGAAAATCTTAAAACTGAATTGTTACATATTGTTATATTTCTTACATATCTTATATCTCGTTAGAATTTCCTTTACAGTATAGAAAATATCCTAATCTGCATACTCTTAGCTATGACAGTAGAAACAATTTCGCGATAATCATAGATAATTCTATCCATAAATTAAATTTAACCTTATTTATAATAATAAACTGTTGTAAACAATTTAAAACAGCGATGGTGGTGTTGTCTACCGTGTTGAAGGTTTGAGCTATGAGGGGTCGGTGCTTGGGGGGTACACATACCCACTTATGGGAGTCTTAAACCTCTCAAAACTCTTGTAGGCAAAGGATTTGTGATCACGAAACCTTAAACCATCGTCGTCGTCCTGAACTCAAAAACAACTACCTTAAACTCAGTGTCTGTGAGCATATTGGTATCTGTCTCTTACCTCACTGGTTTGTCCCATAAGGCCAGTTGGGTCCTCTGTTGGTAGAGAGATCACAGTGATGCCGTGGACCATCCTCTCACTCGCGCCGATGTTGTCTATACCGACTCTCACTCGCGCCGATGTTGTCTGTACTGACTCTCACTCCTCGACGACTATAGTTCTCAACACCTTTGGAATGTCTCTGTATCGTGAACACGAGACCTGAGTTGACCAACTCTGAGGCCTTGACTCCACTGTTCACTCGCTAATTGTTGTCTTCTACAACTATGATGTTGTTACGCTTTTTGTTGACGTGTTGTTTATATATATATATATATATATATATATATATATATATATATATATATATATATATATATATATATATATATATATATATATATAAGGCCAGTTGGGTCCTTATATATATATATATAAGGCCAGTTGGGTATATATATATATATATATATATATATATATATATATATATATATATATATATATATATATATATATATATATATATATATATATATATATATATATATATATATATATATGAGTGTAAGAAGGGTTCTGTAGCCTTAAAATATGTTTTCTGGTTTATTATTCAAATTATTTTAATAATGTTTCAATTTATAAATAACGTTACATAATATAATTAGTTATATAATTCACTAATAAATCCCGGTGCTGTAATAACCCTAATTGTAATAACTCGCCTTGTATCTATCTCGACCGCGCACTCCGCTACTACCACTGAGCTAACCGTGCAATCTCCGCTCTTTCTATGGTAATAACAGATGCTATACCGATCATGTAAGATGTTAACACTCGGGCCGTCATACGAAGACGTAAACCAGTACACAGAGGAAGGAGAGAGAGAGAGAGGAAGAGGGAGGCAGGGCGAGAGGAGAGAGAGAGGAGAGAGCGAGAACGAGAGCAAGGGAGGGAGAACGAGAGCGAGTGAGGGCGAGGGAGAGTGAGACACTAGTGAGGGAGAGTGAGACAGAATGATAGAGGTAATCGTAGTCACAACCTATCGTATGAGTTACCGAGTGACGCTGCCACCACCCTGAGTTACCGGACAGGGGACCGGAGTGAGAGTCGTAGGTCTTGCAGATGGAATAACCTACCAGGACAGGTGTAGGGGACAATTGAACGGTACAAGGATCCTGGCCTGACACTCGAATAATCCTGACCACTTGGGAACTATAGTGTACACAAGAATAAGGCGGGACACACCAATACTAACACCTCAACACGGGAGACGAACGGGGGGAGGAGTACTGAATAATTAAGAGCACTAGGTCACTAGGGCAAAAGGGACGGTAGGCCCAATATCACTAGGCAAGGAACCATTAATACACATTTAATAACACTTAATATCTGACTTTATTAAAAATAATTAAATAAGACACTCCCTAGCTATATTCCCTACTAGAGGCCAAGGGTACTGAATGAGGTGCTTTAGTACAAGAGAGCCGTACTTACTCGTATGTTGTTCCACCGTTTCCGGGAGATGATGTTCCTTCCCCGGGTCCACACACACCTTCCTACTGGGCTGCGCCCACTGTACTAACTCCCCTGATCTGTTGCTCCTCAGCTGAACATGAGGGTTCTACCTTTGATGTTTAGGGGTTAATCCCTGAAGATTTTCATGACGGCATTAACTCTGACCTCTTTGTGATTCGATGACCGTTGACCTGACTCTATGGCTAACTTGTACAGAGGTGTAACTTTTACATTGTCTGCCGCCGCCTGTCTGGCGCCTGTGGGTTGTTCATCCTCCACGTGGCCTGTTCATGCTGTTATGATGTTCATGTACTATGTACTGCTCTCTTGTTACAGTGCTGGTAAGTCCCCCCCCCCCGTGCTTGTCAACCTGAGTCTGCAAGTTGACGAGCCAAGTGGCCACTCCCAGACTTAATCTCCACTACACCTGCAGCCGAACATCTGCCGTGCTTGTTGCGCAGTGGCTGCTTGAGTGCACGACCACTTGAGTGCACTCAAGTGCACTCAAGCAGTGCTTACCACTGCTTGAGTGCAAGCACCACCAGAGGTAAGCAAGACCCACCAAAAGTAATCAAGCATTGCCAAAGGTAAGCAAAGGGAGCCGGTGGCTGAGCGGACAGAACACTGGACGCGTGATCCTGGGTTCGATCCCGGGCGCCGGCAAGAAACAATGGGCAGAGTTTCTGTCACCCTGATGCCCCAGTTACCTAGCAGTAAATAGGTACCTGGGAGTTAGTCAGCTGGCACAGGCTGCTTCCTGGGGGTGGAGGCCTGGTCGAGGACCGGACCGCGGGGACACTAAAGCCCCGAAATCATCTCAAGATAAACACTGTCAAAGGTAAGCTAGCACCACCAAGGGTGCTTGCTTGCTGATAAGTTCAGCTGATAATGATAAGTTCAGCTGATAATGATAAGTTCAGCAGATAATGATAAGTTTAGCTGATAATGATAAGTTCAGCTGATAGTGATAAGTTCAGCTGATAATGATAAGTTCAGCTGATAATGATAAGTTCAGCAGATAATGATAAGTTTAGCTGATAATGATAAGTTCAGCTGATAGTGATAAGTTCAGCTGATAATGATAAGTTCAGCTGATAATGATAAGTTCAGCTGATAATGATAAGTTCAGCTGATAAGTTCAGCAGATAATGATAAGTTTAGCTGACAAGTTCAGCTGATAATGATAAAAAAAACTTCAGCTGTCAAGTGTTCGGACCTACATCTACCCACACTGTGGGTCACTGGGGATGATGGCCAGGTCAAGGGTTTTATACTTCTTAAGAACTAGGACTTCTTTAAGAATTTATTAATGCAGGAAACAGGTCTGTTGGGCCAACAATATATATATATATATATATATATATATATATATATATATATATATATATATATATATATATATATATATATATATATATATATATATATATTGTGACGATAATCTCCTTCAAGAGATTGAGCCTGCTCTTCCCTCCACCATTACGTCGTTGAAATTATATAAAACTACTATGGAAGAAATGTCCAACAACGACAACAACACCAGCAAGGTTTGCCAGAGCGCAAAACGTTGCAGCCAGAGACACCTGTTCAGACTCAAACCGCCAAACTACCTGTTGATCGCTACCGGCTCCGCTGATTGGTCGCCGGTCTGGCTGCAACTGCACTCGCCCCCCCATACTACTTGATGTCTGGGGTCGCCACGACCTTAGACCTCAGAATATTCAGTGCTTTCGTGGTTACCACTCCTCCCGGCTAGACGTTAGCGTGTACTGAGAGAGGTGGTAGCTTAAAGCCAATATTCCAGCACCTTCCCTTTATTTTGTGTTGCACTTCTTGTTATTTTATCTTAACGTAACTTTTCATTGTGTCATTTAATTATTCTTATTATTTTGATTGATTGATTTTATTATACAAATTTGTTTGTGCATTTTATTCATGTTTTAATTTATTTAACGTAATTAAAATTTCATTGTTAAAGTTTACTTGTGGTTTGTGTGTCTTCTCCTTACCTTACCACAGACGAAGTTCCAGTTTTTTCTATTTTTTTTTATAACTATGTGACGAGGCCATACCCCTAGCCTTAAACAGCCGAACACCAACGCGTTACCGTCACAATATATATATATATATATATATATATATATATATATATATATATATATATATATATATATATATATATATATATATATACACACACGACCTCAAACTCAGGTTTAATAATACTTAATTATCATTATTTTGTATCTTTATTTTATTATTTAGACATAATTTTAGATGGTAATTATTGAATGGAGAGATTAGTAACGTCTCACCACTACACATATGTCTCTCACTGCTACACCGTTGTCTCTCACTACAGTATAGTTGTATCTCTTCACTATCCTGGCGTGTCTCACCGCTATGCAGTTCTCTCACAGTTCGTGCCTCAGCAAGCACCAACCAATACTTGTTTACGACTCTAGCGACCTCTTATTAACATTTCCATGAACACGCTAGACTCTGCAGGAGCATTGTTCTCACAGTAGTGGAGCAGACACAGCTCTGACAAGGTCAAATCTTTATCCCTCCAGCACAGGGCGTCGGCGAACCTTTTCATCTGTATCCCTCCAGCACAAGGCGTCGGCGCAAGGCGAGGAGGATGAGGTGGTGGGTGGTGGTGGTGGTGGTGGGGCTCCTGCTGGTGGCGACGGGCCCCGCCCTGGGGTACCAGGTCCTCGTCCTGGTGCCTGTAGGTTACCGCAGCATCTATCAACTGTGTCGGTCCCTCTCTGTGGCCCTGGGGGACGCTGGCCACTCCGTCACTCTTGTGTCCTCCTTCGAAACTTCTGTAAGGTTAGTAAGAGAGCGTACTTCGTCTTCTTCTTCTTCTTCTTCTGGGAGGAATGAGGATTGTAACAACCTACTCTCCCTCCTCCTTCGAATTGTTTATTTGGAGTCATAATCTCTCCTTCAAATAATTTGTGAAGATCATCCCCCCCTTCTCCAAGTAACTACTGTAGATCTTATTGCCCTTTTGTAGTCCCTTCGTCAAGTAACTAACGCAGAATGCTGGCTTCCAACTATTAGATGCCCCAATATATGTTATAACCCATATGTTATTAAGCCAACTCAGGTGTTGGCAGTCATAAGACAACTCAGGTGTTGGCAGTCATAAGACAACTCAGGTGTTGGCAGTCATAAGCCAACTCAGGTGTTGGCAGTCATAAGACAACTCAGGTGTTGGCAGTCATAAGACAACTCAGGTGTTGGCAGTCATAAGACAACTCAGGTGTTGGCAGTCATAAGACAACTCAAGTGTTGGCAGTCATAAGAACATGTGTGTTACGAGAGTGAACTGTCGGCTGTGTTCTCTCTAATGTTCTTAGCATAGAACTTTTTTGTCAAGAAATAGGTGTTAAGCCACAAATAACCCTATAGTAGAATACTTTTTTTTATTTCACTCAAACTATTTACAAAAGCTTGTTGAACTTCTCTCTGGACTACAAAAGCTCTTTCATAGTTAGAACACTTTTTTCAGCTTCTAGTTTGAAATTGTCGGGGACAAGAAGACTGTTAGGCCGTATTGCGGCCCCACTAGACCAACACTGTTCTTATCCCAAGATGCAATCCTCAACAGTTGCCTAACCTCCTGGTACCTATATATATATATCCTGCTAGGTGAACAGAGGCATCGGTTGAAAGGTAGCGTTTGGCAAGTATCTCCGTCCTGCCGCGGGAATCGAACCCGGATCCCCTCATGACGAACGCTACCCACAACATCTGTGCATCTGAACAGTATATATAATTCCCATCATTAAGGTTTTCCTTTTGTGACCGTGTCCGTTTCCCCTGACCGTGTCCACGAGACCTTGTCCGTTACCATGCAGGAGTGGAACCAAGTGAAAGTACCCATAGGACAAAAGTCCTGGCCTAGATCAAGGCGAGCAGCATACCGTAACATTTACAACATCGCTGTGATGTTGTAAATCACCAGTTACAGTGATTTACAAATCACTGTTATTCCTATGTCTCAATTACGAGTTCGAAGTTTATCTCCCTGAAACACATTCTTCAAATGAATATGTTTGTGAGTGTTTTTTCTATGGCTAAGTGGAGTATTCTATAACAAAATGGAGTGTTATTTGACTGAGTGTATATAACTCAGTAGTGTTTTGTGAGTGAGTGGAGTGTTCTATAAGTGTTCTATGACTAAGTATAGTGTTCTATGGTATAAACACTTCATCAATACTCATCTCACTTTTCTAGTGAGAATAACGTGCGGGAGGTGCACACCGGCGCTGACAATCAACACATGCAACATATCAACATTTTCCACACCGGGACCAGCAGCTATCTCGCCTACACACTATTAAAGGACACCACTCAGAACATTGGCCGAGCGATGTGGACTAACCCAGCGATACAGCAGCTATGGCAAGAGAGAAATACCTTCGATGCCATAATAATTGTCTGTTACATGAACGAGATCGCCGTTCCCTTCTTGCTGGGTTACAATGGCGTATACGTCAACTTCTGCACGCCGGGTATCGAGCCCATACACATTGCGCAACAGGGCAACATCCCGCCTGCCTCTGTCGTGCCCTCAAGGTTGCTCCCCTTCACCCAGCACATGACCTTCCTTCAGCGAGCCATAAACCCATTAACTATTCTCTACGTTTATACGCTACCTTATTTCACGGCGCTTCCCCGCGCCCAGAAGCTGCTGGAGGAGTACTTCCCGGAGATGCCGCCCCTTACTCAACTCTACTCGAATAGTTCGCTGACTCTCATCAACAGTCACTTCGCTGTGGACGGCCTCGTGCCTCTCCTGCCTACTCAGGTGGAGGTGGGCACCATCTCCGCTAAGAGACCTCGACCACTCCCACAGGTAAGTTAGGAGACTTCGACCCCTCCCATAGGTGAGCTACGAGACCTCGACCCTTCCCACAGGTAAGCTACGAGACTCGTGACCTTCTCTCAGTAAGCATTAAGATCCCGCCAACTCGCACATGAACTTTAGTGGGTAAACAGGTCGTTTACTCATTAAGATTCGCCAAGATGTCTCGTCTCTTCCACAGTCAAGTCAAAGGTCGCCAAACTACACCCACAGGTAGCCTGAATAAAGAAATCCCGCCAAATCTGACATGATCGCAAGAGCTCGTCTTATAAATAACGAACCCAGAGGTCATGTGCCCCCCCCCCCTCAGAGTAAGGTCACGGCCAGTGGGGTGGTACAGGCAACTTAGAAGTGGCTAGGAAGGTCACGAGAACTGGTTTAATCTCTAAAGGTATGGTCAGGAAGATGGTGTGTGAGTTAACTTGAAAGCGGCTTGACGACATATTACCTGATTTCTCCTGTCGCCGCAGGATCTGGAGGAGTTCGTGGAGGGAGCCGGCGAGGACGGAGTCATTCTCTTCAGCCTCGGCAGTATTGCGAAGAGCTCCGACATCCCACAGGAATACAAGGTGAAGAGAGAGAGAAAGTGCACTACACTAAGTCATTCAAAAGGTACCATACCGATAAAGAAGGAAGCTGTTCAATAATGTTTTGGTGTGCACCACCACCACGCTGGTGGTGTTACAGGTGTTGACGCTGTTGGTTTCGCAGGTGTTGACGCTGTTGGTGTCGCAGGTGTTGACGCTGTTGGTGTTGCAGGTGTTGACACTGTTGTTGTTGCAGGTGATGCTGGTGGAGGCGTTCCGGCAGCTGCCTCAGCGGGTCGTCTGGAAGTACGAGGGAGACGACCTCCACCTTCCCCCAAATGTCCTCACCAGGAAGTGGATCCCCCAGCAAGACATCCTAGGTGAGATACGGACCTTCTCCAGCTAGGACACGGGCCTTGTCCAGCTAGGACACGGGCCTTGTCCAGCTAGGACACGGGTCTTTTCCAGCTAGGACACGAGCCTTGTCCAGCTAGGACACGGGCTTTGTCCAGCTAGGACACGGGCTTTGTCCAGCTAGGACACAGGTCTTGTCCAGCTAGGACACGGGCCTTGTCCAGCTAGGACACGGGTCTTGTCAAGCTAGGACACGGGCCTTGTCCAGCTAGGACACGGGCCTTGTCAAGCTAGGACACGATGTCCTGTTTTTGTATGCATATTTATCCTGTTTCACACCTCGCCTACTATCCTATTTTAAAATCATTATCTCATTCCACATCTCTTTTTCAATCCTTCATCCAGAGTGACGCTGCTCATACTATTTTACATAACACATTTCTTTGTAATGGACATCAACAAAATTTGTTTCCTGCTCTACAGACAAGTCTATAAAATCTATTATCTTCATAGTATCTTTGGTACGCAGTAGTAGTAGGCATCCATCAGTCTCTGGAGACTATGGAGTTGCGCTCTGGCTGTCGGTCTGGAGTGGTGTCACCAGGGCGCAAAGCCAGGGTAGGTTGATACGGGGGAGAAGCTGTTACCCAGGCAGCAGGTCACCCCTCTCCACGACGCTGAAAGTCTCCAATGGAAAGGCACATGCCAATACGATTGATTCCAGCGCCGTCGCAGGAACTGTGAGTTCCGGGGTTGACCTCGAAGGTGGTGAAGAAGGGCACAGGGACCGTACTCTCTTGCTATTTATGTAGGTAAGGAATTCTCTGTTATTTTTATGTTATGGCTGACTCGAGAAGCAAAAAACACCACACTATGGTGTCCCTTTAACTTGCTTTAAGTCTGTGACTTTTTTATTTATATTTACATGCGAAATAAGTACAATAAAACAAAGACATAAAATCCAAAATGAACAAGTATCGCACAAAATCACCGGGCAGAAGGGCCGATAACAAGACACAAACACGTATGACAAGCATAATGTGAAACACAATACACAGCAACAGTACAAAAGGCAAATTAAAACATGAAAGGAAATATAGAAAGAAAACACAGTAAACAACCATGAAATATCAACACAAAAGCCAGGAATAAACACACACACTGACACCCTCCCGTGCACGCAGGCACCGGGAAACGAAACTACACACACACACACACTAGAGCAAACACCAATCAAAACAGAATCAAACAAGTAAACAAAACACAAACAGAAACCAACCACACGGATTACTCATACTTATCCGGATACTCCGCTGCCGGAAAGCGTAAACAATACGCCTCCCAAAGCAACTGGACGTCCTCCGAGACCGAAAGACCAGGAGGTGCAATAGGCCGAGGCATTAATTCCGGCATACCAACTATCGTTCTGCACACACCGACCCCGCAGAACCCATATGGAGGAAGGGCTCTACGAAGCAGGATGCCCGCGTTCAATAATGTCAAACTTCAAAGGGTTGGACCTATCACACACCACTCCGGAGGCCAAGATGAGAGGCAAGGGTATCGCCCTAGGGGGCTGGGCAGAGGACGGCGCATGCGCAAGCACACCGGGCAGCGCACCAGGCCCCACCTCAGGTGCCACACAGGCACCCCGCGCCAACCACGGGACGTTGCACCGGCTGGGAACCCCCACGGCGGGCATCTTTCTTCAATACCATCATGATGCCACGGCCCGCACCAGCACCCACGCCATCCACATCAGGAGCAGCAACCACTCCTCACTGCGGAGAATCCCCTGCAGGTGAAAGAACAGAAGGTAAGCCAGAGACACTCATCCGCAGCCGCAGGCACATGAACCTCCGCCACCACCGTTGCTGCAGAGAGCGACGCACTTGGAACAACCCCGTCGACGTCGGAAGACTTAAAGTCGCCGAAGTCACCCACATCGGCCAGGCAGAAGAAGAATGGCGGGAACGCTTGGGCTCTGGCTGCACACCATCAGAGCCGGATGCGGAGCCAGAAACACAGGCAACTCGGGTGTGGCGCACAGACGCACGCCTTAGGACGGCCGCTGCCTCAACCACAGGGGAAACCAGGCCCAACACAGCCGGAGGCCCCGCATCCACCACTTCCCCCAGCACGGCCGGGACACACGGCAGAGACGAAGAGACAGGAGCAACAACCGGAGAAGACGAAGACAGTGACGACGTGCAGAGAGCGTCTGGAGGAACCAAGGGATCATCAGGGACACCAACCCGAGCAGGACGACCAACCGAGGGTAGCACAACCTCTGGAGGAGCGGCGACAACAGCAGCAGGCGCGTCGGGCGACACAGGGGGGGGCCTCAGCAGCCAAGGAGTCAGCCACAACCTCACCCACCAAATCCTCACCCACACGAAGCAGCGGGAAATCCTCCTCACGGAAGAGATTAGTGGAGCCACGGCTGGTGCAGAGCACGTACCAGCCTGATGCCCCAAGAGGCCACAACGGAAACATGTCCTAGGCTGCCGGGTGTAGTACACACGTACGTAGTACCCCAGGAGCCTTACAAAGGACGGGATGTCCGACCTCAGACGCATCCCCAGGGTTACGAATGTTCGTCTGCACACCTTTGAACTTCCCCGAGGAAAGCATATGCAACCGCACACTGACAACAGTGCCAAACTGGCTGGAATAACGCCGCAGCATGTCCTCCAGAAACTCCAAGAGCGCCCCATGAACACTAACATTTGTGAGGGCACCACTACGGTCCAAAAGGATCACATTGCCTTCATCGTCCGGCAGGGGTAAGGTCAGCCCCTCGTAGCGACATAGAAACTCCCGGTATGCCTCCTCCGCAGTAAACTTGACAATCGCACAGTGCACAGACACCAATTCTATACCATAAATGTCCACCACAGAGACACGAAGCAAGTCACATAACACGAGCTCCACAGCAGGATATCCAGCTAGTCCAGAAACTCCAGGCCCACGGATTGAGCCCGCACAATTGGGGGAAGAGGTCCCCCATCAAAGAGGCCATGTCAGCACCGACGAGCACCTAACCACCACGCCAGCCGGGCAGGAAGTGCGGCTCAGGCGGGCACGTCTGCACCCTCTGGCGGCCAAGCCGGCAATCTGCTGTGACTTTGATACATGCAGCTGCCTCAGTCGCGAATTGGCAGTCCACCTTGCTAGTGTGACAATTGCATAGTTAACTGGTGCGTAAAGCGACATCACCTTTCCGAATTAGTAGGTCAGATAACTTACTGCGTGCACTTTGTATATCGTGACAGATCTGGATATACTCTCCATTTCTGCTCTGGGGAAGACTAAACAATATACTATTATCTTGCGTCCTTCAGACACACAACTCTCGCCTTCTACGTGGGCTACACTGTTGCCCATTGCATGTCAAACTGTGGGTTTCCCGAGAGCCATATAGGTCACATTTGTGTTGTCATGAGGGCCACACACGAAACTAATTAAAGTAATTTAATAAAAATGATTTCAGAATATATTGATAATGATATTCCAGTGATGTCCAAATTATAGTATCCTTTGTGCAGGTCGAAGGTGTCATTGCAAAGGACCTCATGTTTGACATGTCTGGGCTACATAACACACTAAACTCTGTGTAACACACTAATTTAATGTATTCCGCTCTTCCATTGTGCTTGAGTCATATTGTTGGACCACGTGTACCCACGAGTGGGGGGGGTGTTGCAGGACACAGGAGGACGCGGGTGTTCGTCTCCCACTGTGGGATCCAGAGTACGCAGGAGGCCCTGTACCACGGCGTGCCCGTCCTCGCCATGCCCATAGCTTTCGACCAGCCTCGCAACGCTGTTTCCTTGGCCACCAGAGGATATGCTCTGGTCCTCAATTGGCAGGACTTGAGTGTTGATGCCATCCTGAAAGCTATCAACACACTCATCAACGATCCTACGTAAGACCCTTCCATATGGCTATGGCAAGGATTCACCAAGCATTTACGTGTCCATTTACGATACCTCTACAACTTTCCTCAACAATGGTGGCTTTGTTTACAATTTTTAAACAGCTTATGAAGCCTAAAACGCAACGAAATTGTCTATAATAAGAATAACCAGAAGTTGTTTAGTTTCGATGTTCGTAAGCTGTTTAATACCGACTAAGCAGCCATAACTGAGGTAAGATGTAGGGGTTAGAGGGCACGGAAATGTTTAACGAATCCTGACCAGTTTTTGTTCTCTCTGGTCATGACGAAACCTTAATGCTTTCAGGCTCTACCTGTCTTCCTGTACTTCTGTACATTTGTGTACGGAATGAATTAAAAAATATATATATATATAATTTATTAAACATTTAATTTGTTTACATTCAATTTAATACTTTACTCCTTCCTTATAGGCTGGGAGCGGCACATTCTGTCCATCACTGTAACATTAATGTGTACCTTGTTTGTACTGTGTTATACAGTTCATCTTCATTGAGTCTCCATCACTGTAGACTAGAGGCCAGTGACCTCTCCTCCATCACTGTAGCCTGGGGGCCAATGACCACGCCTCCATCACTGTAGACTGGTGACCACTGACCTCTCCTCCATCACTGTAGACTGGGGGACCACTGACCTCTCCTCCATCACTGTAGACTGGTGACCACTGACCTCTCCTCCATCACTGTAGACTGGGGGACCACTGACCTCTCCTCCATCACTGTAGACTGGGGGCCACTGACCACGCCTCCATCACTGTAGACTGGTGACCACTGACCTCTCCTCCATCACTGTAGACTGGGGGACCACTGACCTCTCCTCCATCACTGTAGACTGGTGACCACTGACCTCTCCTCCATCACTGTAGACTGGGGGACCACTGACCTCTCCTCCATCACTGTAGACTGGGGGCCACTGACCACGCCTCCATCACTGTAGACTGGGGACCACTGACCTCTCCTCCATCACTGTAGACTGGAGACCACTGACCTCTCCTCTATCACTGTAGACTGGGGACCACTGACCACGCCTCCATCATCGTAGACTGGGGACCACTGACCACGCCTCCATCACTGTAGACTGGAGACCACTGACCTTTCCTCCATCACTGTAGACTGGGGACCACTGACCTCTCCTCCATCACTGTAGACTGGGGACCACTGACCACGCCTCCATCACTGTAGACTGGGGACCACTAACCATGCCTCCATCACTGTAGACTGGGGACCACTAACCATGCCTCCATCACTGTAGACTGGTGACCACTGACCTCTCCTCCATCACTGTAGACTGGAGACCACTGACCTCTCCTCCATCACTGTAGACTGGGGACCACTGACCTCTCCTCCATCACTGTAGACTGGAGACCACTGACCTCGCCTCCATCACTGTAGACTGGGGACCACTGACCTCTCCTCCATCACTGTAGACTGGGGACCACTGACCTCGCCTCCATCACTGTAGACTGGGGACCACTGACCACGCCTCCATCACTGTAGACTGGGGACCACTGACCTCGCCTCCATCACTGTAGACTGGGGACCACTGACCTCGCCTCCATCACTGTAGGCTGGAGGGGACCACTGACCACGCCTCCATCACCACAGGTACCAGGAGGGACTAAGGAAGGTGTCGGTGACGCTGCAGGACCAGAAGGAGAGCGCCGGGGCGCGGGCTGTGTGGTGGGTGGAGTACGCCATCCGCCACAAGGGGTCGCCCCACCTCCTCTACGCTGGCAAGAACCTCCACCTGTTCCAGTACCTGTTGCTTGACGTCCTGCTCTTCTGGCTCTTGGTCCTGGCCGTGTTGGTCTTCCTCTTCTGCTACTGCCTCACCAGGTGCCTCAACTGCTGCCGCAGAGGCAAGGCCAAGGTCGAGTGACACGACCAGTTGACGAATGGAAATGTGGTTCCCAGAACCGACGAGGACAGAAACAAAAGATACAATGGTCTGAGGAAAGAAAGATTAGGAACACAGTTGTATAAAAATTTAATAATAAAAATATTCAAATAATAGATCTAACAGAACCGAAATAATCTAACGAAACGAATATTCATATGAAACACTTGGTGACTTATCACTAGGGAAGCACTAAGTCAACCTTACTCAGGGGAAATACTAAGTCAACTCAACTCTGGGGCATCACTTTGACTCGGGAACACTAAGTAAGCAATAATGAAAACAAAACATAAACAAGCCGGGGAGACTATGTAGCACCGTCAGTGTCGCTGGATATCCAAAAAGGCGCTAAATATCACCACTTAGGACGCCAATATGTGAACAAAAGGACATAAGACAAGCGATATCAAAGGTATCGGATTCACCAAAGATTCTATCGAGAAACAAAAGATAACTCGAGGGTCTATTTAAAAACCAGACAGACGATCGTCATGAAAATAGGGACATTCTACAAGGAGGTTCACGACCGTAAGAAGGACAATGCAGATTGGACAATGATGAGCAGGGCGGCGCTCCATTCAGTGCTCGTGAGTTAAGCGTATATGACCAGAACGTAACCTAGCCAGAGCCGTTTCCAACAGTGCATTGCGGTGATAGGTGGAAGGCCAAGGGGATAGGTTATCCTTTAGGAGTGCGCAGTTTGTTACCGGATCAACAACCCTGCCAGCGGCCTCTGACTCGGGAATGAATGACTGGGTAGAAATCTGAATAAGGACTGCCTTTTCGGGGAAATAGGACGAGTGTGGATAGCCTCCTCAGCACGTCCATGGGGGGGCAACACCACTATGGCTGGCGACCCAGCAAAGCTCACCCGTCTTAAACTTGCTAGAGATAAGAAACAGCCAATATTGGAGATAGACTACTCCATATGCGCCTACTCCATGGAGATCGACTGCACCGTAAACCAACTGATGCTGGAAAATGTATGAATGGTAAGAGTGAATCTACTGAGAGGTATAAGAAAAGCGTCACCAATGCATATGTAGGTCGTGCAATACGTACATGATCTTCTTGGCAGCTCTTACACCACCAACTTGAACGAATCCGCCAAACTGTGGTGATCAACGATTAAAGCAATACAGAATTCGATGAAATCATAAGAAGCTAGGTCGCCATCTGAGGATAATCAGGCCCCGGGGGTGGAAAATCAGCCCCCCCCCAAGAGAAGACATCGTAGTGTAGTATAAAAATACATTCACTCAGGCTTACAAGAAGGATGAGAAAGTGATTCGAGACATAATTGAAAGGAATTGCGAGCTTTGTAGTGAAAACGCCAGGATTCGTCCTATCACATCTTTTAACAACCCTCGTACACCTTCCTTCATTATAAGAAATAACATCTCTGCCTCCTCTGACAAACTGAGGTGTACCAATGTAGTGTATCACTACAAATGCAGCACTGGAGACTGTGCGCTCCGAAACATAAGCTACATTGGACACACGACGAATACATTGTGTAGACGTCTTACACTTCATTTGTAAGACGGAGGTTTTAAGCAACATCATTCTCAACATCATTCTCCTGAATTGCCAAGATATAGTGAAAGATACGACAATAATCATACGCACCGACGACCGCAGGAGGCTTCGTATACTGGAGACTGTTCATTCCGGAGCTGACACCAGTAATCAACATCCAGATGAATTCGACTTTGAGCATACAGCTGTTCGATGGTCCTCCACTGATCTAGATGGAAGATGTAAGACCTGGCGGACAACTTGAAGTAAGTAATTATCAAAAGAAGGCACCAAACCGGGAAGGCTATGTAGCGGACAGCTAGAAGGCGGAGTGAGACAACAATATCCTCACCCTACCCTTCGCTGCTCCCTACGATTAAGAGGGTTAGGTGAATCGTAGAGGTGTACCCCCACACTTATAAATGTCTATAGTTCTGCTTGTAAGCTTGACGGGCTCACCATAGCCCGTGCTACTTGGAACTTTTTGTTCCGAGTGGTTGAATCTAAAGCAACATCACTTTGTAAGCTCAGTATAGCTGTGTTAATGGAACAGTGTACTCCTGAAAATGTCACATTGCTGACGAAACGTCGAACAATAAAAATGGAAAGATTAAGTGATCTATTGTTTCTTTACCTTCCAGATGGTAGAAAATATTTGGGTAGAATTGAAAATATCCAAAAGAAAATGAATAATAGTCACAATGCTATTGTGATTAATGACATTATATATATATATATATATATATATATATATATATATATATATATATATATATATATATATATATATATATATATATATATATATATATATATATAGACACGACAGTTCTTTACGAATGGTCTTGCTCTGTACTGTAGTTATCTGAATATCTTTAAAGTTCAAGAAATGATCCAACAGAATAGCCGCGGCACCAATATCCTTATAGACACAAGAAAGTAATAAAGTAAATAATCAAGAAATACGCAGAATATTTTTTGCGTCACATTTAAGACGAAAGACGATCAGAAATTGTGACCTTAAACCCTAAAAAAAAAAGAAAAAATCAATTGCATTTTTATTTTTAAGACCATTCGAATAAGAGAGTTTTGAAAGATTTTGTTTATTATTATGAATAATAGATCTATGTTTACTGTAGTTATTGTTAAGTTAAATGCCAATGGAAAGAAAGATGTGTGAAAATATGTTGCAACTCCTTAAGTAGATTGTGGTAGTTATCACCTAAGTGTTAAGCACGTCTGACTAAACTTCTTTTTATACTAAAGTAGAATAGAAGCAAGATTCACGTTGTGTTGTTCGAGTATCAGTATGATCCTCTAAATGTGAAACGGGTCTGAATATTACAGGCCACACGTAGTTGAAGTCCTTGGAAGAACAGCGGCGTTTGATGCAAGATTCAGTAAGACTGGCTTCAGGTGCCACAAGCTCCATCAGTAAGACTGGCCGCAGGTGCCACAAGCTCCATCAGTAAGACTGGCCGCAGGTGCCACAAGCTCCATCAGTAAGACTGGCCGCAGGTGCCACAAGCTCCATCAGTAAGACTGGCCGCAGGTGCCACAAGCTCCATCAGTAAGACTGGCCGCAGGTGCCACAAGCTCCATCAGTAAGACTGGCCGCAGGTGCCACAAGCTCCATCAGTAAGACTGGCCGCAGGTGCCACAAGCTCCATCAGTAAGACTGGCCGCAGGTGCTACAAGCTCCATCAGTAAGACTGGCCGCAGGTGCCACAAGCTCCATCAGTAAGACTCGCTGCTTGTGGTAAGCATCACGAAGGTACTCCACAACCGTTGACCAATTATTAATCACAAGCCAACGGTGGTGGAGTTACCAACATGAGGTCTGACCATGATTGGACGACGCCGTTGTTGCAAGAGCCAATCACAGGACGACTGGAAGACTGAACAGAGCCTCTTCAGCTTGATCCAGCACTTGGGAAGACTCGTCGAAGCAACGGGAGACGCTCCAACCTCTGTTGTACCTGTTAAAACGGAGGCAATTAGCAAATATTCTAAATAATTTGCCGCGAAAATAAATAGTTAGGCAGAACTTTACATCAAGTGAATAAATCCCCAAGGGCCCCTGATGAGGGTTCGAACTTATGAACTGAAGGTTTCCAGAAGGTTCGGCATAGGATCGAATACTAATTCTTGTGGATTTGTTCATCTGATGTATCACGTTCCTGTTATTTCTATGTGGGTTTTTCATCAAGTGATATTTGGTTATTTCTGTTTATTGGGAAAGTGTTCTTTTTCGTCAAAGAACACACACGTGAATGATTCGAAATGTTCTGCTAGGGGCTGATAATTGTTCTATAATGCAACATAAATTATTACTTTCATTGTATATTGTGATTTTTATATTTATTCATTGTATTTCATTGTGTTATAATCAATGGTTAGTTACAAGTTATAATAGGTATAATATAATTGCTGATGGGTGATGAGGGTGAATAAAATACATTAATATGTAAATAAAGAAATACAATTTCAAAGTTCAGTTATAAACTATTTCTAATAGAAGGAAAAGAGAAGGTTGGTAAGACTGAAAACATTAAAAAAATATATCGATATACTCCATGCCATATTATGAAGCCTCCGGTGTGGAGCCTTTCTATGTATGGTAGATTCCTGTGTGGAGCCTTTCTATGTATGGTAGATTCCTGTGTGGAGCCTTTCTATGTATGGTAGATTCCTGTGTGGAGCCTTTCTGTATGGTAGATTCCTGTGTGGAGCCTTTCTATGTATGGTAGATTCCTGTGTGGAGCCTTTCTGTATGGTAGATTTCCAGTGTATTTGTCTCTAGGTGTGGAACGAAGTCTCTGTGCGGGGCAGCTTCCAGATGGGATGATGCGTTAGGAGTCAGCTAGCAATCTGTAATAAAAACAAATCGTTAAGGACTCGTATATTGTTTCCTGGCATAAGCTCTCAACACACACACATCAACACCTGACATAAGCTCTCAACACACACACATCAACACCTGACATAAGCTCTCAACACACACACATCAACACCTGACATAAGCTCTCAACACACACACATCAACGCCTGACATAAGCTCTCAACACACACACTAACACCTGGCATAAGCTCTCAACACACACACATCAACACCTGACATAAGCTCTCAACACACACACATCAACACCTGACATAAGCTCTCAACACACACACATCAACACCTGACATAAGCTCTCAACACACACACATCAACACCTGACATAAGCTCTCAACACACACACCAACACCTGACATCAGCTCTCAACACACACACATCAACACCTGACATAAGCTCTCAACACACACACATCAACACCTGACATAAGCTCTCAACACACACACACTAACACCTGACATAAGCTCTCAACACACACACATCAACACCTGACATAAGCTCTCAACACACACATCAACACCTGGCATAAGCTCTCAACACACACACCAACACCTGACATAAGCTCTCAACACACACACATCAACACCTGACATAAGCTCTCAACACACACACACTAACACCTGACATAAGCTCTCAACA